CAAAGATAAAACAAGGCGGGTCTGCAGGGGAAAGTAATTTCATCCCTAGTCACCTCGAGTATATTATTGGAGTCGGGCACAAAGCTCTCAAGTATCGCACATGCAACGCCTTACTTCTATACTTTGTACAAAGGCAGACAAGCGCAGATCGAACGGACTCAGTGTGGGCAGCGTGATCACCTGCGCCTCTGCGCTGAAGATATCTCCTGTCCGACGACATCCCTTGTGGTCCCAAAAAGCGCCGCCCATGCTATCCCGAAGTAGGACAGCAGCAGGGAGGCAGCTGTCGTAATGATCAGGGTTAACCAGAACCAGGCGCTGCCGCCCATCACGCGCATCGTCCCCGATATTTGCGGCAGGTCCGCGGTGAAGAATGGTCTGTGGCGCAAGTACGACCGGGTCAGATTTCCTTCGATCTAAAGCCGATTTGGTCCGGGTCAGTCTGGGGTAGAGATGATGCAATATCCCGACAGAAAGATAAATTGTACCGCAGCGGAGAAGGGCGATCATGCGTTGAGAGTACCACCTGAGGTGACTGTTGAACCCTGGAGTGACATCGGCGATGTCCTTATTTCTTTGTCACTGATTTTTCAGGACGGGTTGCGCTCGGCACCGACGTCTGCGTGTCTATGGGCAATGGTACCCGCGTTTCGGTGCGTTGACCGCATTGCTTGGAATGTTGACCCTGTTGAACCAGATTGAACAAGTCTGTGGCGTGGCTCCGTGGGAGCCGAAATGCTGTTTGTCTAACGAATGTACCCCTACCCTACCAATGTTGTGACATCTCCTTTCGACCTGGCGTTTTTGATTGAGCCGATATGGGTTTGCGCTAGCGTATGGAAGATGAAACAGGCTGTGACTAAATTCTGCAGCGTGCTATACGTGTATTCTGGCAGGCTGCTTGAGACCGTCCGTTCCCGCGCAGCACACGCCCTCAGGATTATTGCTTCGTACCGGCGGGGTTGGTTACATGCGTTCATGCCGGAATAGCGCCGTGTAGAACAAAACCTGGGCCCCAACGTAAGTTGACCGCCCAAACATGTAATAACTGTGTACGTGGTCAAGCCTTATCAAAGAACGTTTCATTATTGTTCGCTCACATTTCCGAGAAGAAGAAAAAGGCGATGATGAAGGATCCTAGGGACAGTGCGAACACCGACACAAACACCGATGTCCAGAGCTTGTTCTCCATCGCTACACGCCCGTTTGCCACGAGGACGACGCAGAAAAATACTACCAAACCGTAGCCCCAGAGTCCGACCCCTCTCCCCTCCGGCAGGACGCCTCCGGCGCCGAGCGCACCCATGGGTAGAGCTGTCACGATACCTGCGTGAATTGCTCCTTCACTCATCCACCTGCTTCCAACGTTCATTGACGGGGCTTGAGAATATCACACCTTGTATTGGTCGTCGCGCTTGCTGCAAGCCCTGTAGACTGCACGCCAAATTTCAGTTTACAGGCAGGCGAGCAAAGGCCCCGCCAAGCACTAGACTACGACAACAAAAGCGACATCGGTTATGATTAGGTAGGGTCTTGTCCTTAATTCACACGAAGGAGCACCGCTTGCTATTGCCCTAATTGCCGCGAAACCCCATCCCCACCAAAGTTGGGACGCAATCTCACCTCCAGAATATTTGAGGCGTGAGAAACACTCGTTGAATTCCATCCTGGTAGAGAATAGGGTGCGCCAATGCCACCTCCGACGTTACGTCCTGGTTTGTGAAAATGAGGCAGAGGGCTCGTATTGCTTTGTTATGCGTATTTCTGCCCAATGAACGATGTCGGTTGTCGAGACAACTATCAAACCTGTATGGACCTAGCGCGCCTGAAGTTCATGCGAGTGTGTAGTGCGAAAGCTGAAGTGTCTTCTTGTGTTCGTGCATTTCTGGAGGTATCCGGCCGGGTAACGCACTAACATCCTGCCAAGGACCGAGTTTGCGAACAAGCAGTTCTCTGAGCTATGGGCGCTATTTGCGCGATGAGTCTCTACATTGGTGCTTACTTGGTCGAGAACCCCGAGGGCGATGATGGGAAGGCTGGTGAAAAAGACGTTGTAGCTCTGGTAGAGCAGGTCGTAGTAGAAGTTCTGACCGGAGGATAGCGAGAAGAAGGCGAAGAAGAACTGCGGCAGAACCAGCAGAGCGTTCTTGTAGAACATGTAAACCGTCACCTACAACATGTTCATTCGCGGAAGGGACGAAGCGGGCACAAAACCTAACCCTTGAGCATGGGGGCCACAAAGACAAGAGACTCTCGCACCTCAGGCGCGACCCGAGGGTGATGTGCTGTGGGACCAAGGACGGCTACAAGCCGCTCCTTGTTGTGGAGCATGTTCCACACGAAAGAAATTGTCGAATGGTGACTTCAACCTCGTTGAGAGTAAGCTGGATGAACAATTATTTTCCAGAGCAACAATGATAGAAGCATATTAGGGCCGGGATGTTCCAAGTGCCGGCGAACCATCTTCCGCGAGGGGATGGTTCACAAACCAAGTGTGCCCCATCGTCAAAAAGGCTGCAAAAGATACGGTGAACGAGGAAGCACTTGGCTGCCGCAAGAACGGGTTTAGTCTTGCTGCGAAACAATACAAGGCACAAACGACTTCCCTGGGTAGAGGGCGGTGTGCGCGTAGAATCACACGCGGCTTTCCTGCTCAATGACATTTCATCACAAGCACCGCACCTTGCAGATTCTGCGATAACTCCAGCGGCCGTGCACCAGGAGCAGCTTCTTCAAGAACCGGAACTGACCTAGGCTGTAGTCCGAGTTATTCACCGCTTGCGCTCCCTCTAGCCCGTGGATGCCAACGCCGACGTGCGCCGACTGCGGGATGGGACAAGACAGGTCACAAAGAGAAGAGAGAACACACGCGCGATGGATTTCAATGGAGGACGTTTTACTCTGTTTGACAGTAGGTCCAAAACATAGGATCGTCCACATCATCAACAGAGTAGCTGACAGCATCGCAGCACGCGACACGTCCGTCCTCCCCACTCGGCCCGCAAGAACGTGAATGGTGCACCCACACTCCTGCCGAGCAGCCCCCCCCCTCAACGGCGCTTCTACGCCTTACAATGCACTCGTGCGTAGGAGAGGGACGAACGAAGCACGATATTCGGGTTGTACCTGCAGCATAGGAACGTCGTTGGCCCCGTCTCCCACGCTAAGAGTCACCGCGCTGGGGCTGGCCGTGCGAACCATGTTCACCACCAGGCTCTTCTGGCGGGGGCTGACTCGCGCGCAGACGACGCTCGCACACAGCTGGCACAGGAACACGAAGTCTCTCTCTAGCCCATATTGAGTTATTCCCTGAATTGTAGTCAGTGGTTGTTCATGTTCCAAGCGCGCGGGCGAGTGCGAGTTAGGCTGACGAAAGGGAGCACGTGGTCGGGCAGCCGAACGGGGAGAACCGCCTGGATACTCCTGACTGAGGGGAAGTCATGACATGGCGGGAAAAATGTCACCAGTAGAAGTGCTTTCTTTCGTGTTGGAGGCTTGCCAGCACACCACATCTTACCCCCCCCAGAACAATACCAGCAAACTCACGCTGAGAGCGTAGGTGTCGACCACGATGGCGGTCTCAGAGGACGCTCCCGCCGCCCCTGTCCTCAACTTCGTAGCCTTTGTCGTTAACTCGCTCATCAACCTGCCCATGCCAACCAAAACGGGCCTGTTGTTGTCACCCGAGCAGCTAGGTCTAGACTACACGACTGCCGTGAAACACGGCTGCAGTGAAAACGCCAGCCAGGGGAAGGTGAGAAGAAACAGATGGCCGTATGCGTGACAGCTTTGGGCGCAGGACACCTATCAATGCAGTGCATGACGGTTCAAGGCAATCTGATAATGAAGTAGAACAACCTCGTGCGTTCAAGCTCCTCGTGCCCGACTCTGTACCGACGTGCTTTCTCTGCCCTTCCTTCCCACACACCACCTCTCACCCTCGAAGTGACCCCTCGGAGGGGACGCCGCTGGCATCAAGCTCCAGGCTTGTCCGCTCCACCGTCACCACCACGTCATCATCGATAGCACCCTTCTTACCACTCCCTTTCCCGCCCACCCGTCCCCCCTGCCCGGTGTTGTTGTCGGTTTCGCCCTCCTCTTCGTCTTCGTCCGCACAGAGGCGGAGGGTGGTCATGTCCGTGTTGAGGAGACTGCAGCTGTGCCCAATGTTGATGGCGGTGTCAACCTTGTCTCCCGTCAGCATCCATACCTAGCAGACGGCAGAGATTTCGGGCAAAAGACGGAGATCCGGTCCCAAGGGTGGATGGCGAGCAAACGTCAAGGACCTACGGCGATAAATATCCTGTGTTTTGTTCCTTCAAGAATTCTTTGGTTAGGAGGTGACAAAAGGTTCGGAAGGATGCATGTCGTCGGCTCATTTCAGCGTGACAGCCAATACATATTGTGGGTCTACGTACGGTTCGTACCGCCATCTTTGTGGGGCGTTTCGTAATTTTCCTCACCTTCGTGCCGGCTTTGCGCAGGTAGTTGAGCGCGTCCGGCACCCCGTCCTGCAGTTTGTCCTCGATGGCTGTGACCCCCTGTATCTCTAATCCTTGCTCCATTACCTCCATTGCCGCCTTGAGCTGTTGAAGTACACAGCGACGCAAACAGTGGTTATCTCTGTGTGGGTGTTCTACAGTACACGTGTTGTATGCTTGACTCGCCGCGTCGTTGACGACGCGAGTTGACGTGTTCAGCATTACCTACTTTAGGAGAAAGAGCGACGGGTTCCGTTGGCACAGGCAAACCGCGTTTGAAGGCGGTCAAGCTCTGGAAGTAGAGCTACAAGCAAGTAGTGCCATGAGAGAGAAAAAAGGGGGAATTTCTTCCAGGCAGACCCCCACGAAACCGTCACTGGTTAGTCACACCTCTATTGCAAATGATTTGCCGCAGCTTACCGATCAATGCTGAAAATTCGGTTCATTGTCTTGAAAGAGCACTTCTCGCTTCTAGAGGCACGACTTTGATTGGACGGAGGCAAAAGCAGAATTTCAAGGCTAAGGAGTGCGTTGGACCTTCTCTTCTCGGCCCTTCATGCTGGTCTCAGCCGCCTGGAAATCTGAGAGCCATTCCAGGTACTGCTCCTCCGACCGTTCCGTCTTCGCGGTCAGCAGCGTTCGAAGACCTTCATGGCACAACATCAGCGTGTCGACCAAGAGGGTTGACGGAAACAGGCGACGCAGCGAGGCAGAGACTGATGGATAACCGGCAATGCGATTACCATGCTGTGGACATTGCCAACTAATTGAACACGGGGAAAAGAGGAGCGCACGACCCCTAAACGCTAGCTCTTGTCTGGTGCCTCAGTTTCATTCCTGCTTGCATGTAGCGAGCATGGTTGAGCCGAAGGACGAATCGTCGCATTCGATCATGTCTGCCCTCCGTCAGGCGCTCATCCCGAGCAAACACTCACCGTCTCGCGTAAATTCGGCGATGTTCTCCTTCACCGTCTTCACGAGCTCCGCGGGGTTCTTCGCCAAGTCTAGCCGCTCCAATATTACGTTGTCCGCCCCCTTGCAGTACACCACCACCCCTCCCGTCCCCTTTCGTACAACCACAGAGCTCCGTTTTCGGTCGCTCGTGAAAGGAAAGGTGTGCAGGACATGGAAGATCTTTTCCTCCACCTCCTCTTCCTCTCCCCCCACTACAGGGGAACCCCCGCAGACATCTGCCCCCCCGCCCGTGGAAAGGGGCGGGGGGGGAGACATAGAGGAGATCTTAGCGCCACCCCCGGCGTTCTGTTGCTGCATCGACAAGGATGTGCTGCCACATCGCCCCCCGCGAGCGCTGTTGCTGCTTCCCGAAGACGTCGGCTTCGAGGTGGGCTGTGATGCCAGCGGCTGCTCGTGCCGGGTGGTGACGGCGACGGTAATGTCCTTCCCGTCCCGCCGGAGAAAGCGGTGCCCGAAGTGGGAGGCCGCGTAGATGAGGGCACCCTCGTCTGGGTTCGAGGCAGAGTAGACCACGCTGCCGTCCTGCTGCTGCTCTGGCTGGACCTGTGCGTCCGTCGGGGGCGCACGCGCGAGCGAAGGGATCACCAACGGGAATCGGAACAGTAGAATCATCGGTCGTAAAGGAATATGAATGGCGTTGTTCGTTCTGGACATCCTAGACGTTATACAGAGCTCCGCGAAAGTTTCCGCGCGTGAGTAAAGCGCGTCCCGTGCGTTGTGTAGGTTGAGTTCAAGTTGATATATTCATGTCCTGGCGGAACGCTCGCGTGTTACATAACCCTACCTCTATGACGTAGATACATTGTTACGGGGTGGAAATTCTGGGGGTCTGCCCTTCGATATGACGGCGATACGCATCACGAAACGACATCATGATATATAGAGTACCTAGCACATCAACAACACCCCTTCCCGGCATGGCCTTCACGAGGCTCTTCTCTCCAACGTTCTGACCAAGGGCGCACTCCGTAGGGGTTGGAAACGTCCGCCGAAAGTTCGCATACCTCGTGGTTCAAGGCAAGGTGGAGGTAGAACTCAACAGCGGCTTCGTGCAGAGGGTGCGCCTTGTTCTCCACCACCCTCGAGAATTCGGGATCGATGAAGTTCACGTGCGGCGTCCGCTTCGCCCCCGGCGGCAGCGGGGGTACTGTCGGCACAGGAAGACCGTTCCTAAGGCGGTAGTTTAGGCCAATCTCGGTCGTGCCTAGGCCAAACATTTGGCCGCGAATGCTGGTTGTTGTTGTTGGCGTGATTAAGAGGGGTGCGCGAGGGCGAGTTGCAGGAGATGAGGAAGGGAACGGAGATTGTTGAAGGCTACAAAAAGTGGGTGATAGAGCCCTGGTCTGCCTCTGCCGTTGTTTGAATGTCGTTCGGCCAAGTTCTGACATTTAGTTGAACCGTGTTCGATGCAGCGGAGGTCGTGTTCTTACGCATGTGAACCGCCCGCACCGAAGACATACTCTAGGATAGCTGGTGCTAAAGCTGACACGACTGGGCTTTCAAAGCTAGGAGTGGCCTAAACTTGAGCCCTTGGTGAAGACAGCATCTCGTTTCGAGAAATCTAGTCTCACTCGCGTATGACTATCATGAGCCACAGCGTGCCCTAACGCCTTGCACGGTAGCAGCCCCGAAGACCTGACAATGTGTTCCTTTGTCTAAGGCTGCACCGGCTTGAACGTTTGTACGCTGCACAGCACCCAGAGCCATTGCTCAATCACTTCATCATCAGCACGGGGGCTGAGGCTTAAGTCATGTGCGCGACACGACACCACTAGGGTCCACGTCACCGTCCTCGTCGTCCTTCGCCAGGCTTGAGCCTACCTGCACTTCCGGAAGTTCATGATGTTGCACGTCAAGGTACCCGTCTTATCGCTGAAAATGTGCTTCACCCGGCCGAGGTCCTCGTTCAGCTCGCTCGACCTCACCTGTTGGCCGACATAGCAATAATAGCGCCTTATACACGTGCGCATCATCAGCCGCCTCGACGGCAACACACAGTGGTTCTGGGTAAACGAGAACCGGAGATTTTCGCCGACGGCTGTGCAGTCAGCGTAGCGGGGTAAGGCGGGTGAGTCGCAATTGGTGAATGGGCGGCGAAAGGGGGGCGCGCGACACCCTCTCATTAGTTGTCGGCAGTAGCGTTTGCAGGAACAAACCTGCGCGGGCATCGGTCTCTTCGTCCCGTCGAACTCCCGGGCCTCGTGGTACATCTGCCTGTCCCACGCGATGAACTTGGACTGAAAAACCTTGACCATATCGAGCGTGATGAGCAGGGAGATCGGCACGAAGTTGGTGAAGATGATGATGAAGGACCAGAACTTGAGGAAAGCGACGAGGGCCGGGGACTGGGGTTCCTCGTCCTGCCCCAGAATGAAGTACATGTTCTCCACGTCGGACCCGGCGGCTCGAATCCCGGCGAAAACGGCGGCCACAAGACACAAAAATATCTGCGGCCGTTTTCCCGAGGGTACGGGGCGGGGGGCGGGAAAGATTGAAAGTTTTTGGAGACAACCTTGGTTTGTGCTTACTGTCGTCGGGGGAATCGCGATCTAATCGAAGCGCCGTTTGTAGGTAACTTTAGGCTCTTATCTCTCGGCGGAAGCAACCTGCTCTTACGCGCTGTTCGGCCAACGCTCGAGCCAACTACTTCCTGACTCGTTTGCCCAGTTTCCTGGTGGAACACATCCGAAGAGAAGAATACTCGAATGAATATGGAAGCATCACATGCGCGTTTTCCCCGCACCATAAAGTGCAATCCTCAACACCAACACATTTCTACAGATAGTATCACACCACGGCCAAACACGCTAACACCATACGATGACACACAACAACTCCAACAACCTACCTGCACGCACAGCACGTGGAGAGTCTCCCGATCGACATAAGGTTTGAGGGAGGACGACTTCGGAGCGGGCTCGGCTGCGTTCATCTGGATCTTCGTCTCCCGCCCCGTGTACACCACCACTCCCCGACACCACTCGGTGTTCCGCAGCTGACACCCCCTCAAGAGTATATTCTTACCTTGCAGCGGTATTCGTTCGCCCCCTTGCAGCTTTCCACCGGGCGCGGAAGTAAAGGAAGGGGGCAAGAGAAAGAACATCGGTATGATTTTCGGCGTGCGCGGACAAGGTAGGGGGCAGTTGTCGTCCCGGCAACACATCTTCTTCTCTTATCCAAGTGATCGGTCATACGGGAGCTGTGCTTCGAAAACCCTCGCTTCAGTTCTAGAAAACATTATTTATCGAAACGATGATTTTTCGGTCCGGGATTGCAGGCTAGTATCCCATCGACGGCCTGCTCAAAGACTCGAGCCAGCGTCAAATGCAGCAAGACTTTCCCCCGAGGGCACACAATGCTCTGTGTGCAGGGCGTACAAAACTAGGACACAACTCATGTTTCTGTACGGTATCTGCTTTGGAGTGGTTGCTAATCCCCTTACCACCAACGCGCCGTCGAAGTGCTCAAGCTTCTGGTTGGGCAGATCGCACTCCACCAAGGCGCCCTTCGCCGCCAACGCCAGCACACTTCCTTGTTCGCCCCCAGCTAACCCCCCTGCCGACTCCGCGACAGCGGCTGCGCCGTCGGCAGCGGCAATCACCGCCCGAAGATCCGGGCTCACAACCCGTGGCTTCAGGTTAGTCTCACCGTCGAGATTAGAGGTCAAAACGAAGCAAGTTCCTTTGGGGTCGCTGCACGACAGCATCACCAGATCCGCCGGGATATTTTCTCGATTTCGGATCTCCAGCACGTCTCCCACCTGAACGTCCATCCAAGGTACTTCTTCCGTGGCGGCAGGCGGTCGCGGTTTACTGCCCCTGATGCTGCCTCCCGAGTTTTTTCTTTCTTTCCCACCGCGGCCGCCACCACCTTTTCCTCCCGCAACGCTGTTTCTTCGCTGGCCGGGTACGACGAGTCGTGTTACAGTTCGCGAGTTCTCTTGCGCGTCCGCCTGGTGCCGAGTGAAGTCTTCAATTCCATCTTTGGTGGACGTTGCCTGGGGTCATCGTGACATTAGTACTGGTGAGCTTGGGATGCCCTTACTAACGCCGTGGTGCAGGGGGATCAAAGTGCACACAAGAGAATGGAACGCAGGCGATGACAGCATACTTGATACATGTCCCAAACATGCGAGCAACGATAGAGTTTCCATTCTGTCGACAACGGGGTGAAGGAAGCACCCATGTACATGCACCTCGACAGTCGAATTCGCTCGTAGACTACTGTAGGCTATCGGATACCATTCACCCGCCAGGACTCACAATGAGGACGGCCGTGAGCGGGGCGAGCGTCGTGGGCGTACCACCGGTAATACTTATGGGCTTGATGCATTGGAGGATCGATATCCCCAGGAAGTACACGTTGGCCGGACGATGAAACTGTTCCCACAGATTCTTGAACACGAAGTTGAGCGCAGTGTACTGTGATGTTTTTTATGGGCATTTGAGGCACGAAACGAGCCGTGCATAGTTTCAATCAGAGGTGATCCAGCAAACGGAGGGAGATATGCGAATTCACCACTTCACACGCCACATTGCCGATCGGTCCTATCAGGGAGATGTGGCTGGAATGCAAATGCTACCTTGCTGCTGTTTGTGCACACGCAGTTCTTACGTTCTTATCCATTTTTTCTGCTGTGTTGTGGACCTGGAACAGATCGACTTCGAAGTTTGCAATTAGCTAGCAAACCACATTTCTAGAAACATGTTTTCAGCACTGCCGCTGCTGTAGCGCCAGTTATACCTTAGAGGTGACCACTTCGTTCGCCATGTGTCCAGGACCAGTCACAGGCGGGCCGATTCGGTGAGGTTCCTTTGAGAGAGATTGCTCGTTCTCCGTGTCGCGGCCGATATGTACGGTGCGGAATGTGGGTGGCGGTATCTGCAGTACCCAGAACCACATGGGCGCCGCCACCGCCATTACAGCAGAACACGAAAAGTGCAACATGTGATACTTTCGTACTTTCGATGAAGGCAATGGGTCAATGTAATGTTGTCCGAGAACATGCCTAGATGAGAAAGCGTGCCGCCTGCGCTGGTTTTCTAGGTGTTCACCCTCTCTGGACTACATATGTATGTTCCGTGGACTGGGCATGATATGAAGACAATAGCAACGGCGACATAAAAAACCAACAGGAAGAATATGGATTAGTTGGTGTCAGGGCTGGTCGACGCAGGATTCGGTGTAAGAATTGGCCACACAGCAACGGTCTCCGGCTATTGTAGCCGTTATTGTAGCCGAGTCTATAAATTACGCGTCACAGCGCGGGAAAGGTGGAAATGAAGACAGAGAAGTGAGCGATGATACCTATGGGCACCTGGGAGCTGCGAAGCAGTCCGTGATGCCGGAGCTCAGGCGTCTTGGCGAGTTGAATTCGAATATTACAGGTGCATGACTACATATGCAAATAAAGACGACCTGACCTCGGGGCAACCTGAGCATGCGCCCGGCCCACAGACACGGGGAACAGAATCAACCACACAAAACACGTACCTCTTGTGTACCCCCCAGCAGGCTCGACCCCCTCCGAAGTGCTCCCTGCATTTCTGATCGCCAGTTTTACGTGTGACGCGCATACATCTAAGCTCATGGGCCGGGGATGCACATGGTGTGGATGGGAGCACGACCAGACCCGAGCGCGTATCTATTGTCCTGAACGCGAAAAGATTCGCAGAAGCCACGACAGTTACACGACAGTCAGGCACGACGTATTCCCGCCGCAAAAAAATGAGAACCTGCTCTCGTACAGCAGTACAGGGAAAGTGTACCTACTGCTGTAGTAGCGTAGTAGCCAAACGACTACCCACTTGTTCGCACACCTCTACACCCACACCGATGTACCGAGGCTGACGAGGAAACCTGCGACCCTCGAGGGCAATGAACCCCTGGAATGAAGACCGGCTGCGGGAGGACAGCGATCCGGAAGACGAGCCTGCGTCCGGACCGATCACGACGACTGATTCACCCCGGCGGAGAAGAAGTAGCTTAGGCAGCCGGACCCCCAACGACTTGCCTGGCCTAGAGGTGCCCCCGTCACCCGCTGGTGGCAATGCGGGCAACTTGCCTTCGAACCGATCTACGTTCAGTCCCGGCGCCTCTCCGCCTACCAGCAGTGGGACGCGGTTCGGACGGCGGCGATCCATCGGCGCGATATCTCTGAGGTGCGCGGCCCACTATTAATAAACAGCAACCCCACTAATGTATATGTAGTTGTATTAGTGGGGTTGCGTGTTTGTCATCCTGTGGTATACGTTGGAGTTCAAACCGGGCAGGGAGGCTCGCCTGCCAGGCACTCTCTCTCTGGTTTCCCCTGCCACGGATATCCCACAAACCCGTCGGAGAGAGGAAAGCAATGCACCTGTACAAGGCGGATACGAAGAAGTATTTTTGTAGGCAAAGTTGCTGTGGTGGAACCTCTACAGGTTTGTCTCTGGGTCCAGGTTGGGAATCAGCTTCTCCGTACCCGTCCGCCGTTGCCGTTTAGTGTGTGTGCTGGGGGTGAGAGAATCTCCGAACCAGAACAGACCTTAAATCAGTGGGCTTCGCCCGTGCACCACAGGTGCAAAAGCAACATCAGCAGCAGCTACCTGCTGCAGAGGCAACCGCTGCTGCTTTCGTGATGTCGGGATCGGGTCGTTTAATTTCTGAATTTTCAGTATTCCAGAAGGAAAGATACGCGTTATCTTCAACCATTTGTTTTGTCTGTTGGAGTCTCTGGAGCGGCTCCGGTGCACCGCTGGTGTGTGTGCTTCTGTGCCGGACCCTTGACCTCGTGTGAGCAACCGCTCGCTGTGTAGCACGTGCACCGTTTGATTTCGCCGTCCGGCAGCCCAGCGCAACGGTACTGAGGAAAATAACGTTCCGAAAATCAAAGGAAACGTGTGGTACTACAATACGCGTAAGGTACTGTAGGTTTGCGTAAGATACCACACCCCCTGAGAGGTTTCGGCATCCTCTTTGTTCCACGACAAAGAGGATGCCGAAACCAAGTGACGCAGCTCTCGGCGAGACAGTTTCAACGCCGCCATTTTCCGGCACCGCCACTGCTGTTGCTCCTGCCGACTAGTCAACCATTGAAATTGGCCCACGCGGGGTGTGATATCTAGTGCAACCTGCAGTACTACTGCTCTACGTTTGAGACTGAAAATCCCTGCGCTTCTTGCATTTTGAGCTGTGGCATTTTCTCGAACGGTTATGCAGGCTATTGTGTTGCGTGTGGCGTTGTGGCATACCGTTACAGCAGTATGCATACATATGGATGCATATGCACTTGTGCACATATTTTCTGAGAAACTCAATGCTGTGATACAGTATACATCGATATTTTTTCAACTTGTGGAAGATGGGAGGAAGCCGTTTCGGGAAACGATTCCAAATTGGAATCCAGGGAACCATATAGCCTCACGGTGCTCGCCTCATATACGCCCATTTGCAATGAATCCTGCGTACGTGGTATTAGTTTGTAGCTCCACTATTGTGACCTTCTTGGAGACAAGCTTGAGTACCTAGCGCGGAGTTTGCGCAGATGATGCCTTGAAATGATCTATTTCCAACGATTGATTTCCAATCGGGAGTTTCCAGTTGAATTGATCGTATCCGAGGCAATCCGAGGCGATATGCTCATTGCACACTCCTTTCTACAATTTTATGCCCAAAACTTGGTTCCGAAAGGACAAAAAAAATCACAAAGCACAAACAAAATCCCTAGCCAAGCTTCATCAAATACTAAAAGACAAGTGCATGGACAACGCAAGCATCGAACCAACGAACCGCGAAACCGTACGCAGGGGCCCGTCGAGGGCGGACGGTGCCCAGATGGCGGACGCCCGGGCGGCGGCGGAGGCTACGGCTCGGAACAAGCTGGAGCAGGAGGCCCCCATCCGAGGTCTCGCCAAGTACGTGTTCTTAAGGCCGCACTGGGGGTCGCAGTACTTCCTCTTCAAAAGAAACAGGAAACGCCTGGAAACGCCTGCAAATCTCGGTTTTCCAAATTCTAACTTCAGTACGAAACTTCCATCGCAAATTGACCGTCCGCCGACCCCCCCTCGTGTAAAATGTTAGTAGCTGAGGTTGTAGCCCTTGCGATACACGACAGACTAGCGGTCCGCGATTTTCCAAACGATCCTTCTATCATCGAGTTCGGTGAGCTACAAGCTAGATTTTTGAAGCTACTGTGCGGTTCAATTTTGAAAGCTTCATGCACACGGTGAACACGAATCACCGCCTATGTGAGTGTATGGGGCCGCGAACTTCAGCGCAGCTCTTCCCTCACATATCCAGCTGGTCGCCATTGTCGATTTGAATGCCTGGGGTCATGTATATGCATGTCTAGCCTGTAAGCAAAGGTGCTTGAAGCGTTTCAAAATCGGACCTCACAGCAGCTTCAAAAATCTAGCTTGTAGCTCACCGAACTCGATGATAGAAGGATAATTTGGAAAATCGCGGACCGCTAATCTTGAGTGTATCGCAAGGGCTACAATCTCAGCTACTAACATTGTCCACGAGGAGGGGTCAGCGGACGGTTAATTTGCGATGGAAGCTTCGTGCTGAAGTTAGACTTTGGAAAACCGAGACATGCACGCGTTTCCTGGATTTTTCGGAGGAGGTACTGCTATTCCCAGTGCGCCCTTAAACAGCGCAATCTGTTTTTTGTTTGGTGGTACAGCAGTAGGTGCGATGTTGCAACACCCTCCGGTGGGTCAGAAATTTGGAATTTTGTACCAAAGAGCAAGAGGTTGAGAGTGTCCTGAAAATGTTACAACAAGGACAGTGCAATCTTTCGTTGAGAAATATAGCGGGCAACGTATGAAAAGTTCAATCAAAAAGAGTGGCCATCTACACGCATCTATGTACACGCCTCGATGAGGGCATCATCCTGCGAAGCAACAGGTCGCGTCGTAAGAGACACCCCCTAAATGTTCCTGATCGAGGTGCTACGAACGCAGCGTGATGAACAAGGAAAACCTTTGATTGAAAAAATGACCAGGTGCGGTAGTTCGACAATTTCACGTCTCTGTTTGAAAACCAGCACCTGTTCGCTCGCGAGAAGCCGATGAGCTTCGACTCGAACGTGATGTTTCTAAACGTCGAGCGGTAGCCGTAAGGCAGGGGGGAATATAGCTACCAACGTCGGGTCCATCGGTTGTACGTTGTGGTATGTTGGCTTCAGCCATACCGCAAAACCACCCTGATCCCCTCCGAAACCTAGATCGCAGTCCAAGACGCTCCCCCCCCCCGACTAGGGATTCTGCAGGCCCTCGGCGAAGCACCGCGTGCCCGCGAGAAGCATTCCCAGAAAGCGCAGATCGGTCCTTCGGTTTCAAAAGGAGCAGCTTGAGGTTATCGATGATTCTGTTGGCCGCTTCTCCCCAAATAGACGAGCGAAGTTGACCCCTCCTGATCCCAAACTCGGTCCAGGTTGCTACGTGCTGTTCCGGGAGAAAAGTCATGCTGAAACAAAGAAGATCAGATTTTCGAGGTATCGTGCGTACAGTATGACGAAAGATGTGACGAACCTTACAGAGCGATTTGTACACTTTCCCGCATTTCATTAGGCAAGGGGTTCGCAATGAACGCACGCCGCGCACTTCAGTTGCCGTACGCCCGAAACAACAAACGCCCCGAGTTTCACCTATGCCCATCTGCCTGCCTTTCCGGTGATGGACGACTGGTGTTGACAGACAAATGTCCCGAATGGATATGTTTTCTGGCACCAAAAAGAGCGGCGGCGCGGGCACCAACAGCCGGCCGGGCCACAAGAAAAACAGCAGTGGGATGGGCTTTCTACTCTCTTCCGCGCAACCCCACTCGAGGGTGCCCTCTAGAACCGACGACAGGTCGCCGTGGGAGGTGGCCTCGATAGCAACGGCGGCGCCCCCACCGTTGCCGCGACCAACGGGCGCGGGAGTAGCGCAGACACCTGTCGCTGTCACGTCGACAACAGCTGGGCGACAACAACGGGGCAACCAGGTTCAGCCCGACGGCAACGTCAGTCCCGGGAGGCTCGAAAGGGCTACCGGTGGAGGTGGCGGCGAATATGGGGTTGATGGGTGCCGTAATGCTTCCAAGACTCCCGCGGGGGTGGCGGTAACGCACGGCGTTGGGCACAGCGGCGGAGCGGGGGCTAGCCGGCCGCCCCCCCAGGACGACGTGAACTACCCCGACACGCCGCCCCCGCTCCGGCGCATGCAACGGCGAGGGAGCCTGGTGAATCGGGAGGTGCCACAGGAGGATGAACCCAAGGAACCCATCGAGCCCGAGCTCATGATCGGGGAGATTCAGGTCCGTACACACAATGTTGTATGCTGGTCGAAGAGTTTTTTTGTGATACCTCCTGCGGAGCCAACCCGTGGTACACCGCTCTCTGCCGTCTATTCGGCCCTCCCTCGATAATCTGCACATGTCATCCCGCCAGCAGCAATGTATGTTTTTTTATGCTCCCGTCGCTGCAGGCTTCCTTCCGCCACTCGATTATCTGAGATTAGTTGATCTCTCCGAGAAGAAAGGCTGTGATTTTTACCCCGCGTGGTCGAGTCGCAGAAGAGCGAATGGCTGTCACTGCTCGTCTTGACAACTGTTCCATCGACTGATCCTCATTTGATTTGCCATTCACCCGGGAGGCTTAGCCGCACCCTCGTATCTTGCTGAGCTGCTGCTATTGCTGCTGCTGCTGTCATTCCTGCTGCCGCCTTGCTCGTGCTTCAGAGTATCCGTCTACACGAGGAGATCGCGCTCGTGCGGAGGGCCATCGTGTTGATCATGTTGAGCCTCGTGGCCGCTGTCCTCGTGCGCGCGTTCGCCGGAGAATTGTGAGACACAGGGCGAGAGCGAATGACACCCAGGAAGACGTAGATGAGACGAATAGACAGAGCATATGTCAGAGCTGGCTGGTTGGAGAGACACTGATGCTCCCGAACCCATCAGGTTCTGTCGGCATAGCATTACTCCCTGCAGACGACAAGACCTGTGGTCGTTTCTTTCATATGTTGTTCAGGATCTGTGAAATCCAAAACCACACTAAGTTTGTGTTGGGGCTATGCTCTTGTACTGCAAACGCCATGTGTATACCATGTTGCTGTGCGTGGGGGGTCAACATTGGTTATTTTCGCGTTTGGTTTCCATGCAAGAAACGCAAACCCTCTTGTTCGAGTCAAATCAACCCCGTTGCAGCGAGCCCCTCCACGTTCGCCAAGTTATCGGAGGAGATTGAGGTTGTTTCGCCCAACACATCAAACGCGCAAGGATTGCCTCGTTTGTTCGCTTTTGGTGTGGATACCGCGCCTACTGCTGTGTAGGCATAGTCAGTGGCGATCTTGGTTGCGACCCTTCCAACCACCATCTCTCACACGTGTCTCTCTGCTTGTGCAGGGACAAGGACGTGAACATTCGCGAGGTAGTATTTTTCGTGTCCTTGCTTCTCCTGTCCTTCCCGGTGATCCGCTTCACCGCCAGACTGTTCGCCTTTGTCATCACCACGAGGGCGTCCGGGCTTCTCTATAGGGGTAACCGGTGCGTGTTGGCGACCGTTCCGTTCAACAAGTGCTAGGCGTGTTCTCCGTTTGGGCGGGTACGCGTAGCTACGAAAAACATTTTTTGCGTTTGGCCGTGTCCGCAAAGATTGACGGTGTGCTGCCCATTGTCGTGCGGTCAGACGGAGTTTCGAAGGGTATTATGCATAAGTATAGCACGGCGTGTAGTTGGAACAGCGATCCCCCCCTAGCAAACAACCAATCGTGAAACACCTGGGGCGTTTCCGCTCTCGTTGTATTTTGTGCGTGCTACGGGCAGCTACTACTTCGTGGTCGCTCTTCACTACGATATTGCCGTTACCATCTGGTCAGTCGTGGCCATGTATATTTGGAGGGAGCTGTTTCATCAGTGGGTGTATACGGACGACAGCAAACTGGCGAGAGCTATATTCCGACACGTCAACCCTGCGCTTGAGGTATGACCCGTATTTTGCGTTGTGGTGCGCGGAGTCTTTTGTGCTACAGTACCCGGCCGGCACCGCACCACTGTTTCGAGCTTGTTGTTGTGTGATCGTTGTTGTTCCTTCTCCTTCCGCTGTAGTCGTGTTCCCAACTCCGAGCAAGTAGGCGTGTGCGCAAAATGCTTTCCAAATTGGCCAAAGCTATTCGATCCCAGTCGCAGAGTGAGCCTGCCACCCTCCGCTTCCTTCTATTTCCGAGAATGCCGTTTTCATGATTGACCGAAATTGACTGGTATATTGCAGAGGACGTCTTGTCCGCATTCGCGCATCTGAGCAGGTGTTGTAATCGAGGGTGTCTTTTGAACGCGGTCTTCGCAACAGGTACACAAACTCCACATTTCCTTGCTCGTCCCATGTCCCTGTGTTCGGCGCGCTTGGCGTGCACAGAAGGAGCACAATATTTACTCCTTCTATTGTGGGCATCACAAGTTTTTTTCTTTCCGTTCGTTCTGGCATGCTTTTCGCAAGCCCTCTGCGGTCATCTTCCAGTTGTTGGGGGCATTGCTTGTCCGGGAGATTGCCAGCGAGCCACTCACAATACCCGCGCTCGGTGGCCGTGGGCAAACCGATGCTGCTACAAGACGTCGACCCGTTTTTCGCCTGTAGCATGGCGTCTGGGCCGGTAGCAATCATTGAGTGTTCGCATCTATGCAGGCCTTGAATGAGGCCCCATGGTGTGTGGAACTGTTGATGCAAACAGCCCCGCCCGCTCTGCCTGGTGTCCGATGCCCTCCTGCTTGGTGACCGACGAAACAGTGCCACCTCGCCCTTCGAGTGGGCATCCTCTTGAAGAACTACTTGGTTCTGCTCGTGGCGACGTCATACCTTTGGCGACCCTACCTACAAAGGGTTCAGGTGACTTTGTGTACATAGTAACCTAAAATAGTGGGCGGACATTAAGCGGTTTGCTCAGCAGCGGTTTTTCATGTTTGTTTGCGACCCTGTTTTTTTATTGGTCTGCTTCACTGCTTCTGGTTGGGCTTTGGTATGGTTTTACGTTTCCCACCTGATCTTGCGTGGTTTGGCTGGGTCGGAGGAACTGCCGTTTGCCTCCGCGCAATTGTGGCGTAGTCGTCGTCGTCGTCGCAGAATTTATTGTTCATCACGTTGTGTTGAGGTTTTGTGCCTTCGTGCCCCAAGTGGTTTCGACTCCCTTGCCTGTCTTTGTTTTTGCATCCTCTTCCGGGTCCCGAACTTCGCCGGGGCCAACAGAGCAGCATCCTGGCGCAGTACATCCTGCTGCTGCTCACAGACTACTGCACCAAGGGCTACTGCAACCCTGGCGACCAGAACTTTGCGATCGAGATGGGTCGGCAGGGCATCAAGGAAGGGAAGAACATCTCGCTCTACGCAGTCTCGAAGGCCATGGGATTCATTCCCCGGAACAAGCTTGGGCACACGTTTTTCAGGTATGCGAATGCGCACGTGGTGTATATGAGACATGTCTACTGCACGGGTTGGCGGCGTGTATTGGTCGTCCTTGGTTGCGTTATCTGGCATGTTTTGACTCTGGGCGTCCCGTGGGTTGATTCTGTCCGGTGGTGAATCACTTTGCCCTCGTTCGTGGCTTGGGGGATCGGCAGGCAGCTAGCGGGAAGCAACACGCTAGATTCGAGTAAGGACGCGACCACGCTCGGGAACTTTCTGTTCGATCAGCTCATCATCCGCAGCCGCCCGCCACCAGCCCGCCCCACCACGAACACTTCGCCTCCGCGCAAGAGCCTCGCCGCTGCGTTCACCGCGGCCGGAGGCGGGAGCATCCGGATGTCGCGAGGCAGTCACGCCGGCGCGGGCACGTACAGGGCTCTCCCCCGCTTCGGCGGTCAGATGCAGAAGCGAAACAGCGAGCCGATGGCGGTGCCCGCCTCCCCGCGGACCACGGTGGCCTCTCCGAAGAGGTTCTCGATGTTCGAAGCTGGTCGCCCTCAAGTTGAAGGAATGCCGCTGGCGAATGGCGGTGGGGGCGGCGCTGCGGCGGGTAAGGTGCCGGTTGCCAAGGCGGTCTCCAGCAAGGCTTCCAGCACCCTCAGCAAGCTCGTCCCCGTGGCTGGGCGTGCCGCGTTGGTGTCGTCCGGCAGAGGGGGTGCCGGCGGCGGCACCGAGAGCAGCGATGCTCGATGTGATGATGTCGGGACCACCTCCTCCGCAAACACCTCCCCTGGCAGAAGCAGGGTCCGCCGACGTAAGGCTGGGACTTGTGTGGACGGGGTCGACCTGTCGATCGAGGTTGCTTCTGGGGGGGAAACGGAGGCGACTGGTGATACCGGCACGGAGGGGGAGAGCCCCGAGCAGCCGGTGGCTTCAAAGTCGCCGAGCGGGCGTGATACTAGGATAGATCGGGCCCGGATTCTTGCCCAAAACAGGAGCGTTTTTACCAGCTGCAGCAGCGTCGCCAGCAGCAGCAACTACGGCGATAAGGAGTGCGGCGACGGCGTTGATGGAGAAGGCCGTCAGAAGGACCAAGAGGATACAGTGAAGGGGCAGGCAGCGCGGAGTGGTGAGACGAAAGCCGAGAAAAAGGAGAAGCCAAAGCAGGAGGAGGTGCTGGTGCGGACGACATTTTGCCCGGCGCTTGAGCCGGAGCTGCTCGACGTGGCGTTCAAGATCTTCGACCTCGACAACAGCGGCACCGTTACCAAGGAGGTGCGGCCAGAATAGTCGGGGCGGCAGTACACGAGATATAACCGGCACGATCAAGGCAAAACTGTGTGTGGCGCAAACGACGACAGATAGTGCACGGGCTTGTTTGTGTCGAAGGACCTACGGGTGACTTGAAAGTTCCAAAGACCGATCCTGATTGGAAGGTTGAGCATGCCGACGCTTCTCGAAGGTTGTGAGGAAGAAGTGCCTATACGTTAACTTGAATCTGGGGGGGTGGTCGCATCTGAGGGGGTTACCGATGACGTGCACGCTTGATCTGCTCTCTTCGTATCCGTTCATACTCGTTACCAAGCTGGAAGAGACCCCGCCAGTACTCTGAAGGTAGACTGCGATGTGTGTGATAGCAAACAAGGTGTGGCATGTTCCGTCTGTCCGTTGGTTCCCGACACGGTTTGTTTTTTTGTTTCATCATGTCTCGACGTTAACTGTAAAGGAAATGGTGCTGGGCGTTGTCGGGACGTTCAAGGACCACAGGAGCCTCGCCCACACCCTGCAGGACAGCGAGCACATCGCGCAAAAGCTTGGCCTCATCATCATGTGTGTCATCCTCTTCATCCTTTTCGTGAGTGAAATGCCAAGCATTGAAAAATCGCGCTTGTGGCAACCCAGACGAGTTTGCTATGTGCGACTGAGCGATGCTAGTGGGCGGTAACCCGGGGCAATATCCAGTGCAGCCGATGACATCCCACGCATTCGCGGTGTGTCTTTCACATGGTTGTGGTGCGAAGGCTATACCATGCCGAAGACGTTCACCGTACTCATATTGTTCGAAGGCTTATCATTTGCCATAGGCATGCCCGCCCACTTTACATCCTCGAGGAGCAGGTTCGTGCCTCCGAAAGGTGAGCCTTGCAACAGCCACCTATTTATCGACAACACGCTCATCGTGAAACACCTACCACACCACCATCAATGAATGTTCAGTTCGTGTGGCTGTCGATCTGGGGGGCGGACGTGGTCTCCCTGAGCGTGACCTTCGCGTCGTTCCTGATCGCCTTCTCCTTCATGATCGGCACCGCGGCGAGCAACCTCATGTCCGCGGTGCTCTTCATCTTCGTGTCGAGGCTGTACGACGTCGGGGACCGGGTGCACATCTACAGCGGCAGCAATACCCAAGGCGAGGAGCCCACGAACGTCACGGTCGTGAAGGTCGACCTCATGACGACCGTGTTCAAGCGCTGGGACGAGCAGGTGGGAGATTGTTTTTTCCACCTCTGGTTGTGTTCTTCCCGTTGTTCCTACACATGCTGAACACCGAGCAGGTGGCGGAAGGGGCGCTGGCGCGTCCGAGAGGGTCGCGGGAATTATGCGGACCGCTTCTTGGCATCGGCCGCGCTGGCAGACAGACCGACAGAAAAATGACGTCGGTCTAAGCGGAAACAGTGAAAATGCTTCCATTAATGGCGCTCTCCCGGCAGGGTGTCCGGGACAGGACGGATAATGTCACCCTCCCGCAACTTGTGGATCCCGAAGCACGTGCCGTGATTTCACCGCTGGTCCTTCCCAACTCTTTCAAGGTTCAGAACGATTTCCCGTCGTCACGGGCTTTACCCGAATATGGTGCTCGAGTAAAACGGGACTTGTAGACACGAAGACAAGGTCCAGAGACTGATTGCCCAATTGCCAACGTGTATTCTACGAGTCTACGAAGTCCAGCAGCAACAAAAGCCGGGTTGCGACCCCAAAAACAAGACAAGCCGATGAATCGGCACCGAGCGAGCCTCACACGAAAAGCAGCCAAGTTATCTTGCTATGTAAAAATGTTGGATCATATCATCCTTTCCCCGGATTCGAAGGGCAAATATCGTCATGTCTTCGCTCCCGTCCCTCATCCACGCGCTGTTTCACGTCCTGCTCTTGTTGTTGGCTCCAGGTGTTTTATATGCCGAACCATTTGCTGGCAACGAAGACGATCGTTAATATCCAGAGGACGGCGCACCAATGGCACGAGTTCATGATTCAGGTGTGGTTGTCGTGGAAAGAGGTTGAGGTATTTAGCCACTTGGATTGGGAAGCCAGAAGAACGGTGTGGTCTTCGCGCGCGTCGAAAAATGTACAGGATGGGTGGCAGCATGGATGTGGACGACTTTTTCGGTGCACTAGTCGCCTAGTGTGCTATGAAATGAAGCAAAAGGGCGAACCAAGTTCATGTATTTCGATGAAGTGCGTGCGGCATTCATCAAGATGAGGGCACTACAGGGTATACCCAAAGTACTACAGGGGTATTCCCAAAGTAGAGCCAACTCTTGTAGTTGTGTCGTCAGGCGAGAGGGTGGCTTCGAGCATACGCTTTTGTGGCACGGGACGTTTTGATGTCGTCGGGTTTGGGCTCTGCTTGACAGGGCGCGGGCGAGCTCAGGAGATGCGTCCGAATCATTGTGGTATGGAGCACATGTCTTGTCGTATTTTGACGTGCCGGCAGCCTGAAAGTACGGTGCGAACTACCCCCCATGGCTAACATCCTTGCTGCACTCTCTTGTCGCGTTCGTTAACATGGTCCGTGCTGTTCGCCTCTCTCTGCTGATGCCGGCGTTTCTGTTTTGCCTCCAGGTTGCAGCTACCACCACCCCCGAGAAGCTGACAGCATTGCAGACCTCGCTGCAGGAGTTTTCCAAAAGCAAGGACAAGCCCGAGGGTACGTTGGTTGTTAGCGTTCGTCATTGTTGTGATTGGCAATGGTGTTTTGTGAGGTATTTTGAAGCACGTTGTCTACTGAACTTGCCTTTCATTTGGCATGACGCAGTTTTCAGAAGGGAGCTATGATTGAAGAGTTTCGCACGTGCAAGTCTCATTGAATGGCTCTGGCGCTACACAAGAAGCGGCCCAACCTCCGCGTGGTACGTTCGCACGTCCCAAAGAAGATCAAAACCAACCCATTTTCGGTATTTCTTTGCGTTTCTCGGGGACGGCGAATGGCAGGGCTGTACACGCGCATGGGTTTCTCGCTGGTGAGAATCGAAGACAGCACCAAGCTGACGATTCGTATCACGTTCCGGCAAAGGGGCAACTGGCAGGTGGGCCAAGAGGCGATAGTGGTCGCGGTAGAAGGCAGTACATCTGTCAAACGCTCCCGCTTCCAAGCTGTCATGGGCAAGTTCTTCCGAGGAAGGTGTAATAGCACGCCTACCGCGATCCGTGAGGCTGGCCCATTGGGGTAACCTGCCGACAGGAAGGTCGACTGAATAGTGTAAGCTGCGTCTTTGTGAGAATTCTCATAGCTTCGACGGCGGGTCACGGGAACGGAGGCTAGGCGGCGTTCATAACCCTTCCGGTGGGGTGCAAATATCGCCAAGGGTAGCCAGAAGGTTACGTGGCTTGTTGTCGTGTTTCAGCCGCCAGGTTGCTCGCTGAATACGCGCGCGAAAACATCCTGTACCCAGATTTCGAGCTACGATGAAGGGGTGTGTGGGACTCCGTAGTTCGGCCGCGCAATCCCTTTCCCGTCTTGAGTGCGTTGTGACGTACCGAGCGTAACTTTCCTTCTGTGGTTCGCATGCGTTGAAGAATACCTCATACACGATCACAATTACAGGCGTTGAATTGGTGTACACCGGCTGGGTCGTTCCATCGGCCATCACACGTTAAACTTTTGTCGTCACCTTTGTTTTTTCGCAGAGGGATTGTACTAGGGTTAAGTCGAGAGCAGGTTGCGGCACGTGTTTGAATTGTCCAGCCTCGATTCGTTTCCCGCGCAACCGATTTTTTAACCTCGTGCCGCCGCCTGTGGCCATGATTGCGGATGTCCATTTTTTTATGGGGCAGTATCATCTGCTTTCTGCTTGAACAAAAACCTATTGCCTCGACCATCTATCCCTCTCGCCTCCTCCGATCCCCCACCTTTTCCTGTTTTGCTGTCCATACCATATCGTTCGGTCGATCCGCTCTTTCCCATCAGAACATGGAAAAGAAGTGGGCCTGCCAGAGTATGTGCACCTGGGCGATCAAGAGCGCCTGTGACAGCCTCAACATTTCGTACTTCCTGCCGGAGGTTCCGGTTCAGATGAAGAAGAAATCGGCCTAATTTCCCTTATTTGTAATATGGTGCTGTCGTGTTTTGGCGCCGGTAATGGCACACACCCCCGTTTGCGTGAGTATGCTTTTGGGCGTGTCTGCCTTACCGTATGGTGGCACTAGCTTTACCTGCTGCATTGGGGAGCGTCGATCGGAAAGCCTTCCTGGCTTGTTTTTAGATAAAAGTCGCTGCTTGTCCTTGTTTGATCAGGACGACGCTGTAGAATCAACTCCCGGCCCTCCGAATGGTACGCGCCCACAGAAAGCACTGGTCGCCTCCTCTTGCGTACTAGTCGTTTCTGGCTTTTTGTCCACGTCCAGAATCGTTTTCATTTACGCACATAGTTATATGGATGTGGCCCAACCACGGTGAACCTTTGTCAGTCGTAGATCGCAACGGGTCAATATGATTTCCGACCGTTTCGAATGTAGAGAGTGGGTGGGAGTTCCAAGGCTCCAATATTGGGAGCTTCGAAAGAACGTCGGCCAACGCGTTGTTGTTGAACCTGTTATCATCTGCGCTGGCATGGGACAATGGTATCGGTCCGGTGACGGGGTCGCAGAAGGAACCACGTAGTATGAGATGGCAGAGCAGGAGGGGGGGGGGTCCGCTTGTAGTGTAATCCCCGTTATCCGCAAGGGAAACCCATGCTTGCCTTGCACCAATCACCCAACACCACAGGACTTTCTCCTTGTATTTAATCTATAGGGCAGTACGACGCGCTTTGGGTGTGCGCAAAATATTCGTTTAGATGACAGCTCCTTTGTTTTCTTTAATGTGGTTCGCTTTGAGTGAAACACGAAGGGTCACCCGGCGGGCTGTCACTCGCATTTTTCGTGTCTGGCGCACCCCCGTTCTAATAGAAAACGTGGGCGTAAGTAAGGTTGGAATGCCGCGCGTGAAACGCGAGCGACGAACTGCTGCAACTGGGCGTTCGGGCGTGCGTCGTGAAAGTGTACGATAGAATCGTAGTAGTTGGGCTTTTGGGCGCGAAGAATTGCGTGAGTTTATTTGCCTTTTCGTCAGCCAACATTCGGTAAAGCCCACAGGCAGACGATTTGTCCTATAGATATGGTGTGTGTGTTGGCGTGTTAGGTACGTCGGGCGTGTGCGTTCGTTTTGGACGCTGTGCTAAGTTTAGTTGTGTCGGTATTCCATCTTGTTGTCTCAGGTATTTGTTAGTGTTGCGCGTGGTGTTCTAGCTGTTCCGTGTTGAGTGTTGTATGTGTGTTGGCGTGTTCGTGATCCCCATCCGTTTGCCTGCGAAACCGTTGAGGTTCGGCGTTGCTAGCGCTTTTGATGAGATTGCTAACTTAGCCTTTTCACTCCGTGCCTTATTTAATTTGCCGGGGTATTGAGGAGATGAGTAGATGCTAACTGCTCTCCTCAAGTGGGTTTGGGACCGAGAAATGGCCAGCTCTGTGTTTGTGGTGCGCGCTTGTGACAAAAGTCATGTCGGGGCTGTCGATCTGAACAAGTTTCATGGCATATTTTGTCCTGCTTCGAAGCAGTCTATGCATTGCTGCTGTTTTGGTTATTTAGCGTAAGCACGGGTGTGGACCTGGTACTTTCTCTGTTGCTGTGACCCCTTTATGTTTAGCTGATCGCAGGTGTCTATTTTCGGCCGCCGTCGCCGTTGAGCGACAAGATACTGGAATAAACCGTTGGGGCTTGTTCAGAAGACGGCGGCTCTTCTCCGTTGTGATGGAAGCCTTCTTTTATCGGCTGACGGATGGAAGCATTCATTCCCATGCTGTTGCCAAAGCTCTGGACTCGGTGGTGAGATGCGACCGTGAGGAATAAACAAATGTGGACATCACGCTGTTTGCAAACCCTACCGTGGCGCCAGCGCACAGACTTCCCGATATTGTCCGGGCTTGAGAGTGGAAATGTGTGTGCCGTCCACACTCTTTCTGCTTTACTCAGTCGCCGCCGACCGCCTGCTTGGCGCAATACGGCGACAAGGGCAGGCGAGCTGACGCGGTGTGTCTTTTGTACCACCTCGTGTACCTCTAGCTGACCTGGTGTGTCTTTTTTACCACCTCGTATACCTCTCTGCCTGCATGTCTATCTCGTGCCTTTGCTGGCGCTGCCCCAGCCTCTACGGGATATTTCGCTAAAGTGGTAGAAAAAGCGTAAAATATATGGGTCGCGACTTTTAGTCCCCATGCCTTCAGCTCGTCAAGGGTGGTTGAGCACGCGGTGCTTGCAAAAAATGCAAGTCATTGCTAGTGAGCTTCTGCGGGGTGTGAAACCAGCGAGTCATTTGCGGACGCTTCTCAGCGGTTCGAACATCATCGACGGGTCGTGCTACGCACAGAAGACTATTCGGACGAAGAGCTGTAGCATCAGGGGTTTACCAGCAAGAGAACCGTCAACCGCGAACTGGAAGCCATTCTGGTAGATCGGATTCTTTACACGAACAAAACGCAGGAGTCGCGACCCATCTGATGCAGGCGTGACAAAAAAAAGAAGACCGTATGACTGGTAAAGATCAAGCGTTTAGGGGGTGCATTTCACGTCACACCCATATAGTGACAAGCACAAGTTCCGGCCAAACAACAGGATTCTCCACCCAACGCTACTTGGATCTCAAAGATCAAGCACACACCTCAACGCCCGAACAAGCGAAGGAGACACCCGGTATTCATTGCGTCACGTCCCTTAATCTTCACGGTCTACGGTCACCACACAGCTTTCGTTATCTTCTCTCTTGCTCCATCCACAACACCTCCACTGAACATTCCGTCCGGATACCCACGTACTCACCTATACTTCAGACTTCCTGCTGAATCAGACAACAGGAGAAAAACAAGTGCTACACACAAGCCCTCGCAGTCACACTCCCTCCTGAACACAAGAAAAAAAAAAAACGATCTGGTACCAACAAATGGGGCACTTTCAGATCGAATGCATGAAGGGAGAAACGAGGAGGGGAAAACCACCCGATGACAAGGAACAACGAGAGTATTAATGTCTCACTCTAGCACTCAACACCACGTGTGTCGTGTTCAAATCGCTTAAAATCGCGTTATCGTCCCTCTTCGCCGACAGCCAGATAAACATCCTCCCCTATGCATACACATAACCCCCCTTTTCACAAAAGTAATGACACCTGCGCAACTCAATTTCGGTAGATAACGTACAAGAGTGATGGGTGTTTGGTCGGCGGAATGGGGGGCGATCGGTGGCCTACCACTTCAGAGTAACGCACTCCTGGGTGCAGAGAGCAACGCAGCGAGACTAATGAGCCACGGAAACAGAGGTTAAGGCTGCGGCCAGTGTATTTTTTCCGCGCATGTCTTTACGTCGGGACACTGAACGACTTATGCCAAGGGCGGAACACACGCTCAGACAACCACAAACGAATGCGCAGGAAGGACAGCAGGACGGAAAGCAACAAGCACCATCTTGGGGCTCAGTGAGACAGACACTAAAAACAACACGCCAGCACCTGTAGTACACGCACACAATACAGAACACGTCTCACCGTCCAACACTTGGCGAACAGGACACAACTATATAAAAGCAAAAAACTGGGTGGCCACGGTAGGAGGTGCTCTGCAAACGGGACTTCAAGAAGTTAAGATATCTTGTTCTTCATAACGATAGGAACCTCCGGTAGATAGTAGGTGATGCCAATGGTATCGCATGCATTCTTGATGGCCCAGGTACACATGCTCTGGCAGGCCCATTTTTTGTCCATGTTCTGGTTGGTAAATGGACGGACAGGGACGCGGAATTGTAAGTTGGAGACAGTTTCAATCCATGCTGCACAGACTGGGAGAGGCGACGGGATGTGCTTTGCTACCGTACAACATTCGCAGGGGGGGCCAGGGGAAGCAACATAACATTTCGAGAGACGAAACACCACCAAACGTCAATTCCATTCACTACACAGCGGTCGGGCAGACGCGACTTGACCAGCCGTGTCAGCACATGCCACAGAGAGAGACAGCGTAGACTGCATCAAAGCACATGCACTTTCTATCGACTGGAGAAAGAATGGCCGCAAGCGCTTTGTTGCCGTCGGCACAGTCGAGCACACCATATCTCTTGAATCTCCACCACCCTCCCCCACTCACCCATCCCACCAAACCACACCCCACCCCACGGTTGTTCTCTCGAACCCGTTCGGGTGTCCTGCTGCATCAGTCTCGATCCATACTCTTGCACCGCTGGAAACAAAGCAAAAACGAATCGGCTACATCGTTCACCCCTTACGATAAGGTACGATGGAGAGCTGCCGCCTTGCCTACTCCTTTCACGCTCCACACATGCACACACAACGGGGATGCAAGCCCAAAACCGCCAAATCAAGACGCCTCGATTGCCACCATGCGGAGGACTGCTCTGCTGTATCTACGACGCTTTTGCTTTAGACTCACCTGCCAGTTGCCCCTCTGCCGGAAGATGATCCGGATGGACAGTCTCGTGCTGTCCTCTATTCCCGTCAGCGAGAAGCCCATGCGCGGGTGCAGACCTATTTGTCGCCGGCAAAAAGATGTTGAAATGAAAAAAAACGCGGCAACAATGACATATCTTGCTATTCGTTGGTCCGTTGCAACCCTTTGATCTCGAGTCTACAACGACAATAGCAAGCTTCTGCGTGGGCGTACAATGCGCAATCCTCCAGTTGCTACGTCGACGCGCTACGACAGAGGTGTGTGCAAGGTATTTCCTAGAGTTGTAGGGAGCCGATTATTCGACCGTGTGGCTGAGACGCACGTCCTGCTGCATCTTGGCCGGAATAACACATTTCATAGGGTGTTTTCCGATGTGGTTCCATCTATCACCGAGCAAGACCGACCCGCATAGCCGAGAAAAACAGAAGTGGTGCTTTTGAACACGGGCACGCACGCAGCGGTACCTTCGGGCTTGTCTTTCTTCTTGGCAAACTTTTGCAGGGCGTCGTGAAGTGTTTCCAGCTTTTGGCTCGAGGTGGTTGCCGCAACCTGAGGTGATAAAGCAAAGACAGCATAAAGAACAACGGTATAGAGGGGAGCACGACACTAAAAACCTTGCACCCGGCTTGTACAGCGTACACCACGGTGGAAAAAACGTTTTTTTTTATTTTTTTATTCCGGGACGCTCGCTACTGAATGGTGCCTGTCATCACTCTGAACGATGTTCCTCACGAACCAACTATCTACCATGGTACCCTTAAGCGAATTCTCGGGCTACACTACTAAGGCGCGTGTTCACTTCCTCGCCGGATGCTGCACTGCAGAATGTCTATTTTCAAGCCGGGAAGCTGAGAATGTGAATGGGAACAGTTTCTAAATCCCGTTATGCGTACTCTTGTGTCGATGGTTCGGCATGAACAAAAGTCGAGTATGGTAGGTCGAAAACCACCAACGGAACCACGTCTACAAGATGTGCAGGCCCCCGTGCACACACCAAAACGAACAAAATAGCGCCTCGTCGACACAGCACGCACGTGAATGTAGAACTCGTGCCACTGGTGGGCCGTCCTCTGGATGTTGACGATCGTTTTGTCCGCCAGCAGGTGGTTGGGTATGTAGAAGATCTGTGGGCACCATTTGCGAGACGCCCGACCGACGCGGTAAGCAACAACGCGGGAGTAGCGCGGGGGGTTACGGCGTGACCGGAGGGAAGCAAAAGCAAACAAAACACAACTCCGTATTTCACGTCTAGGGAGGCAAGCGTTTGACGCGGACAGATTGTAAGCGAGAGACTTGCACGCAATGGACGCAAAAGCCCGGATTGGTTGCTTGTAGAAACTGCCGAGTGGAAGAAGGAAGAACACGTCATTCGGGCAAAATGTATTTCACGTCTAGAAGCATGCCGTCGAGGGTGCCGTCGACGATTGGACTCCTTGCGTGCACACGCAGACATGGGAGTTCGAGTGCGTGATGCCGAGCGAAACGTGGTCTCCCGCTGAATTGCAAGGGGAGATAGGGACCTCTCTCACAAAAGGAACCCAAATAGTTTGGGAAAGGGTTCAACTGTCGACACGGAACATCTAGAGCGAAGCCAAAGACCACCAGCCCCATGCGTCTATATTGCAGAGCCGGCGCACGGTGAACGGCCCCGCATACGCGTTGTCTTGGCCGCGTTCCGCGTTCAGTACCAACGGTGAGTGCGCAGTGATTTTCGCGTAGGCCTTTGACTGACGTGGGCATAAACAATACTCGCCAACATGTGGGCAGCATATTGAGCTGCATCGGCCATTCAAACTTGCTGTTGGAACCTAGTGACCGGAGCGCGCCAGAGCAACAATGACGCCATCGCACATGGACTACTCGTGGACGTTTTCGAGTGCTCGTCTTGCCATCTGGGCCGCTTGTTTGCGATACACTGCGTCACAATGTTTGCATCTTTTTTTACCATGGACCACACAGCTTCGCCACACGGGAGCTGCCGTCCTTCGCGAAACATTTGGCTGGTTGGGGCTCGTGCGACATGCCTCTCTGAACCTGCTCGGTTTGGCCGAGTATTCTCGGTCCCGCTGGTCGAAACCTCGGAAACGAGTCCAACGGTTAAGCCATCCGATCGTGAGCCGTTACCTCGATAGAGCAGGGCACCAAGACTCCCACCTGTTCGTCCCAACGCCTGAAGGAAGTCGTCCTCAGGTCGACCTTGACCACCACTACGTTCATGGGCTCCACACCCGCCGTCTGGACATCGTCGTAGATATGCACCCGGTCCCCGACGTCGTACAGCCTCGACACGAAGATGAAGAGCACCGCGGACATGAGGTTGCTCGCCGCGGTGCCGATCATGAACGAGAAGGCGATCAGGAACGACGCGAACGTCACGCTCAAGGAGAGCACATCGAACCCCAGGATCGACAGCCACACGAACTGAAAAAAAACGATGTTTTATTTGTCGGTCGGTCGGTCGGTCGGTCGCGCGTGGTTTGCGGCGAGGGCGTCGTCGACAAAGGGAGAGGGTGGCCGGAGGTTGAGGCTTGACTGACGATGGACGTGTGGTGTTGGGGCTCACCTCCCTCACAGCTGAGTACGAACAAAACTCGACGGCCTTCCTTATCAACTGCACCGGCATGAGCGGAGTGTGTACTACACGCCGCCATCGGGCGGCTGATCGGGACACCATCGCGAGGAATTTTTTTCACTGCTTGTATGAGCGGTTCTACGCCGCCTCGACCTTGGTACGGTACCCCTGAGACGTATGATGCGCTTTGCGTGAAGGTGAACGATGCACTCACGGCAAGGACGAACAATATGAGCCAAAAAATGATGAGGCCGAGCTTCCGCGCAATGTGCTCGCTGTCGTGCAGGGTGTGTGCCAGGCTCCTGTGGTCCTTGAACGTGTCCACGACTCCCAGCACCATTTCCTGCCTCGGCAAGTCGTAAACCAAAATGAAAGATGAGACAAACGCCAGTTGTGGAAAATAGTCATCTCACGTTCGTCGAAGTCACCCTCGAATATGTCCGCACTTAGTGAATAACATTGTTATGCATAGCTTGATGGGTGTCCCTATTTCACCGCTAGTCCTATTTCGAATATTTTTCGTGACCCACATCGGATGACCTCGCTTCGTTCTCTGCATTGTGCAGCTTTGATTCGACGTTTGCCGAAGAACTCGTTCTAAGTTCCCTGCTTACACGGGAACAACGAACCCCTCCGTGCTGCAGTACGTACCGCCTTCGTGATGGAGCCATTGCTGTTCAAATCAAAGATCTTGAACGCCATTTCCAGCACCTGATGTTCCAGCATCGGACAGAGGGTTTCCCTTGTCAGCAATTCCTCCTCCTGAGGCTTATCTGCCTCGTCGCTGTCCCCCCCCTTCTGTGTGCTACCGTTGCTTTGTACATTGGTGCTCTCCTCGTGCTCTTTCTGAACGGTGCCGCCAGCAGAACCTTCGCCCCTGCTGGCACCTCCGGCGTCCTTGTCGTTGCGATCCTCACTGCTGAAACTGCCTCCGTTTGCGGTTTCCTTCGCAAGCTCGGACACATCGTGACCGTACCTCGGCGCCATAGCATCGACCACACGAAGCGACGAAAACTCCATTTCTGCGCAACTGGCGGTGACTTCCGCCTTCGACTCGCCACCTACAAAGGGGTCGCTGTCAGCGAACGAGTCGGCGTCCTCTATGACCGATAGGGCTCTTTTTCCTCCTCCGTGGAACTCCCTGAACCCAGCCATACCGCCGCCGCCCTGGCTCGGCAAAACTTCGTCCATCGGGATCTCGCTGCTACCGGCATCACTCGCATCGGCTGTGTCGACCGTGGCTGTGGCGGCGCCGGCGGCGCTATCGCTGGCAGCTCTGGCATTGGGACCCATGCGCATCTTGTTGACACTGCTTGAAAGTTTGCTCGAGACCCTGGTGACGATCGGAGACCTGCCGCCAGCTTCGCGGGGCGCGCTACCCGCCGCCCGTCCCCCCGCTCCCGAGCGCGATCTCAACCACGGCGCAGGCTTTAATGTTGCGTCGGAAGAAGTTCGCTTCGAGGGCGAGAGGCTGCCTACGTCGCCTGCCGTCCACGAGGAGGGCAAGCTCGCGCGTTTGCTCGCGCCGAGTCGACCGCCGCGAAAAGACTTCGCGTTCAAAGTGTTCGCGTTGCTGCCGCCCCCGCCGCCGAGAACGGTCTGGCCCACGTTCGCCAGGTACGCCCAGCGCCTCGTGGCGGGGGAAGCGGGCGCGGTGCATCCCGGCGAGTACATGCGACTCCTGAGGAGGAGCTGGTCGAACATGTATTCTCCGAGGGTCTTGGCGTCCCTACTGGAGTTCAGCGTGTTGGTCCCGCCTAGCTCGCTGCGGTTACCAGCCAACAGCAAAGAGAAGGGGGCATACACAGTTGGGATCATGGTTTAAACGAGCGGACAAGAAACAAGAAACAAGAACCGTTGAGGGAGACAGTATGATACCTGCTTCAATCAGAGCGGAATGCTCTGGAGCTAGGGAAGCCCGCCGCATGAGGGACGGCACCCATATGGAGAGAAAACAACGCCATCGTGTAGCCCCAAACTATGGGGTGTAGCCAGCCCTACACTTGAGGTCTGTCACTCTAGTTCGGCATCTCAGCGGCTCGAGGAGCACACTGATGTCGACAGCATCACACGCTTGTGGAGATCACCCCAGATTGACCACAACCCACAAAGGTATGGGGACGCCTCGCACAGTAGTGGAACACAAAACCAAACAACACCTGCGAACAGCACAACAACTCGGACAGCAAGCGCAGAATACTGCACACGCCGCCGCGGCAGACGAAACAAGCCGTGCCAAAAAAGACACGAAGAAAAAAGGGCGTTCACTTGCTGCACCGAAGCGACAGCACTGGGGCCAACAACAGACGACCCCGCACCGGAAGAAAGCGTGCCCGAGCTTGTGCCTGGGAATGAAGCCCATGGCCTTCGAAACGGCATAAAGCGAGATCTTCTCCTGCTCCTTGATTCCTCGCCGCCCCATCTCAATCGCGAACTTCTGGTCGTCCGGGTTGCACTCGCCCGTGGTAGCGTAGTCCGTCAGCAGCAGCAGGATATACTGCGCCAGGATGCTGCTCTGTTGGACCCCGTGGGGGTAGTTTCGTTGTTGTTTCATTCATAACAAAACAGATACATAGTGAGGAATACGAATGGGGCGCACGTGTGTTAGCAGCTACAAGAGTCCGCTCGTTGCCTCAGACTTACCGCAATGAGGTTCCATGCCATGCGGATACGCTGATACTATTTATAGTTTCGAGTGTTTCGCGCCTTTTCGTAAGTCTGATCAGCACGAGCGCGGCATGTTTAGTTTGTGGTTCATCGGTTGACAAGGTGCGTCGCAATACAAGAGATCGCGTTTATTCTTGTTTCAAGGGGGTGTTCGGATATTGCCCCCATAGTGTAGAACAAATCCCACTTCATACGGTGAATTGGGCCTGGCGGGTGTTTTCTTCTGGTCTCAAAGCAAAATTGGGACAGTCATGGCCTTCACAAAGTTGAGGGGTCACGCGAGGTTATTCAACGCTTGGTCACCGGACCATATTTGTTGGAAATTCGAAACGTGTTATAGTCCCAGACTTGTCACTGGGGCTTCCGGTCGACACAAACGACGTGCTGAATTTAAGCTGTACCTGGTACATATCATACATTTTTCTTTGTTGGTCATTTTCCACCTCCAAGTTGAAAAACAAACCAGTCCACGGAACGCGATGCGGTTAACGCCAAATGGCCACGAAGTGCTCCGCGCTACCCTAACAAACTCTCAAACTCGAGACCGATAAAGTGAGGGGCAGGGGGTGGAAACCTTCAAGAGGATAGTAAATACTCTCAGGTGTAAAGACAATCGGGAGACCAGGTGGAGATCCTCTTGATCGCGGTTGGCTGTGATCGCACCTGCACCCGTTGCAAGTAGGGCCGCCAGAGGTAAGAAGTGGCCACCAGCAGCACCAAAAAGTTCTTCAACAGCATACCAACTCGGTAGGCCACATAGCACTGAAGGAGAACAAATGTTGCGAACGGATACGTAGCACACATCAGATGTCGTTGAAACTCGGCGCATAGCACGACAGGGGGGTATCGCACGTGTTTGGCTGCGACGCTTAAAGAGGAGGCACAATCAACACGCTGAGGTACCGTGGCATGCAGAACCCCAGGTGAAGTTGTACCTGGAAAAATTCGTCGCCGTAGCGGTATGCGTTCCCCGATAGCTCACTGTCGGTGGGATACACCCATTCGGCGAACAGCCGCCTCCACACGAACATGGAGGCGATAGACCAGATGGTCATGGAGATGTCCTGGTGCAAGGCGACCACGAAGTAAAAGCTTTCCGCACAGCGCAAAGGACGAGGTTGCAAGCGCAGCGAGGGGGGCGACAACCGCCGTAGGGGGCAGTAAGGGTCGGTTTCCGTGAGGCTAATGCTAAAGTGGAATCGAATCTCGATATAAACCTCGATTCACATGTAAACATCGAGGGTATGGCATCATAGCCCGAGGGTAGCCGCCCGGCGCATCTCCAGTCCCCGGTATTTTTACTCAGAGAGAGTTCGCGCGGAAAACTCGCAATAGTCGCTCGCCGTTTGGATCAACATGGTGCCGGTTGCGCCCCCGAATACACATCCAGGAATAGGACTTACGGTGGCACAGTGTCATTTTCTGCTAACACACGTGTGGCACAAAGTGCACAACTTGAAGATAAACACGACGTGACAACCGAAGACCTGGGTTTTCTGGGAACCCTGTGGACTGTGGACGCCATGCAATCACAGCTGAAAGTGCCGTTGCTTTCATGCCTCGTTTCGTCACCGTAATTCAAACAAACACCAGGCCACGGCCGAATGGCCTACTTCCGAACTCTTGGTGAATATGGGTTTCGTGTGGTGACACAGAAATCTGTGGTATATTTTGGCCAGCCAACACATTGAACAACAGCACCACCTTTTCCACAGGTTCCGAACCCGAGGCGTTGAAACGGCGCATGATGTTTGCGCGGGTGTGAAGAAAGATGGGTCGGGCTGAGAAACAGACCAGGCAGAAACGCATCCATCTACAGGGCCTGCACGACAGGCCAATGATGGTGATCAGAGTTGAAGGTGTACCTGTGTAAGAGCCTTTCGGGGAATTCGTAGTGGGACCACACAAAAAAATGAGTAGAAAATGGACGTGTACCTGTTTCCTCTGTAGAGGAGGGCCGACGCCCTTGTGGTGAGAAAATAGGCGAACAGCCTTATCGTGAAGCGGATCACCGGGTAGGAGAGGAAGATTGTCGACGCAAACCCGACTACGTGGACGATGTTCACGTCTTTATCTCTGCTCGTCCATCCACCATTGTTCGTCGGGGGTGTCGTTAGAGAAGAGAAGCCGCATGCGTGGGTGAGAACATGCCGGAATGACACCGAAATGTAGTCAAGAACGATCAACGTTTGCGTGTGATGCGGAAGTGGTGCCAGCAGCACCAGCACAAGCAGCAGCACCCGCAGGAAGGCGCCGATCCAGGAGCGGAACGCACGGTAAAACGAGCAGCCGAGAAGAGAAAAAAAGTCAGCATGGGCCGATCTTGTGCGTGGCGCTCTTCCGCATCTTCGAGGTGAATCGCCTCGTTACGACGTCGTGAGACCGAATATTAGCACGATCGATAACTCACTCCCCAACCCCGCCACATCTTGCCAAATACTTCAAAGACCCTTATGTCCATTGACCGACGGTTTGCAAAAGGCAGCACGACATGACTAGGCTATCGGTAACGCTGCACAAGTTTTTTACCGACATGGGTTCCCTCTCGGCGACACGTCAAATGGGGCAAGGGGTTGTTCGTGCGCATAGCTGACAGCGGTGGTGGTTTCGAGACGACTCCTGACAGTGTAGCTCCTATGGCATGCGAAATACACAAAATATCAAGCAAGACGTGCCATTGTGGCGAAACTCACAAGGGTCCCGCGAACTCGCGGAACAAGGTGGCCCCGACAAGGCTGACGAAGATCAACACTAGAGCCTTCCTCGCCAGCACGATTTCGTCCGTGATTTGGATGCTCTGCATGGCCAACCAAGGAACAGCGTCAAAGGCGAACATGGTCATCGTCGTCAGTAACATAGTTAGTGGCAGCACCATATCCGTATCAGCATGTGTATGTCAGTATCACATCAGTGTCACCAGCACTTGGAACAAACCCCTAAACCAAGCACAAAAAATACTAATCCAGCACGCATTTCACATCCGAAATTGAGCGCATCGGCTGAAATCAAAGCGGGGCGGATCGACATACTATTCATCCCAGAGGGGCGACTACAGGAGCGGAAGGAAACACATGCACCCAACGTGCTGGGAAACAAGTTCCGTTTGCCCTCCGACGGCAAAACGTTGCGCAAGTCGCATATCTCGGAATGCGGTATTCCCGGTGGACCCCCCTCCGGCCTCTTTCCTACTCACAGCAGTCCTATTGCCCTATTCGAATCCCGTTCGCATGAACGTGTCATACACTCCGTCGTCCAAAGTACCTTGATCTCCCCGATCATGAGTTCTGTCTCACTCCTGGTGTCCATTCGCTCCTCCTTCGTGTCGTGAACGTGGACCAAGTTGGGCCGATTCTCAGTGGCATTCAGCTGAGGAGGAGTGGCTGGAATTCTAACTCCATCGAGGGCGTTGGGCAGAGACATGCGGCCGCTGACATGCCCCATCGACCCCGTAGCAGGATGACGGCTCGCCTTATCCACGCCGCCGCCAATGCCGCCTTCTTCGAGGTGGTGGGGGTTAACGAAGCCTTGATGGTTTAAGGTCTGCCGTCGCCCTGATGCCGATGCAGGATAGACTTTCGTCTCGCCGGAGAACGGTTTCGCTCCCACAACGTCTGCTGCAGATAGTCGTGTTTGCCCCGAAGGAGGCCGCCCTTCTACAGGTGCAGGAGAGGGCCACAGAAACCCCATGAGGCTGCTGGCATTTTTCTTGTGGCTCGGTCCGCCTTGGCTGGTTCTGTGGTGGTGCGACCCGCTGCCGCTGGTGGTTTTCGAATGCTCCCGCGAACTGGTGCTTTTCGCGCTGCGTGAAAACAGGTCCCAGTTTGATAGCTCCCTGTGTTCATGCGGTGAAGAAGCGCACCCAGGTGTGTTGTAACAATGGTCAGGAAAGGTGATGATGAAATGGCGAAAAGTCACCCTGGCTGTAAAGTGAAACATGGCCAACTCCCGGCGATAGGACGAAACTTCGGCTTGGAACTGGTGAATGTTGAGCTCAACGGTGAAAACGGCCATGCCCATCGAGAAGCACCACCTTGCCGTTAAAGCACATTCCGCCGGCGGTCCCCTTTCCCCGCCCCCCTTCCACATGCCCGCCCCGTGGCTCATTCCCTGTTCTACTATGTAAGTCAGTGTGATGAAAAGGCCGGGAGCCCACAGAGGTCAAAAGTACGAAGGAAACTATTTCGTACTTTGCAAGTCCTCGGATCGGGGCCTCCCTCTCCCGCTCCGTTTGAGCTGATTCTGCGGCCAACGCTTCCTCCAAAAGTTGTGCGTCGTCAGTCCTCGACAAGGTCCTGCTTTTCGTCACGTACGCGGGGGATTGGGGTGGGCGGGCACGAGGGGAGTGGCTTGTTTCTTCCCCAAAACAATCGTGAAATGGTGCACACGCGCCTTCAATAGCAACTACAGTCTCAACGGACGCACCTCGTTCAAGCGCGCAATTACTGTTCCCAACAGCGTACAAGCGACGGCGGGGCGTACAAACCTACTGCTGCTGCTCCGGCGGTGAGCAAGTAGCCAGCAGGACTAGAAGCATGCTGCAGCAACAGAAGCAGCCCGCAATATTCTACAGCGACAGAGGTTGGTGTCTCCTTCCTTACTAGTTCACGTAAAACCCAGACTCTCAAGAACCAAAACCAGACACCCGCCCTGGCGTCCTGGCACTGCCACTGCAACTCCGCAATGCTGTTGGTTGGTAAAACAAGACACCATGTTTTTGCTGGTGTCACCCGTAGGATCTGTTCATTTTGCGAGGAAGTATCCCGTGCGACGTGGACACACGCATCAAGCACTGCATGAATTGGCAACACCTCAAAATATTTCACGATAGCGGGTTCTACCACTGCCGATGCTGCTTCCAATGTTAGCGCGCGTGCAGCGTTCTTTCATGAAGCCTCGCTTAGGTGGAGAGGGAGGCAAGAGAAGCACACTGTTAGCTCAAGAGTAGCTGGATGCAGGCTGACTGTACAACAAGCAGCAGAAGCAGCTGCAGCCGCAATAAATGTTTCATCCCTTGCTTGCGTAGCAGACGTACGATCATGCGCATGCATTTTGTGTTGCACCGTACGCTAATATCGTAGAAAATGCTAGGGCTGCGTGGGCGGGGGTGCCTCAGTGCCAATCTCGCTCCGCGCAAATAAAAGCCGAAGAGTGGGAGCCAAGCGGGGAAATGAATGAATAGCACCGTATTACATGAGCAAGTTCAGAAAGGAGGTATGCAGCACAGAGCGTTTTCCACTGGTGTTCTCAAGCCTGACCCCACCGACAGTATATCATGTTCGTGTCTGTACAATGATACAAATCGCAGACCAGAAAGAAAAAAAATGGCCCTACGACGCGACCGGGGACTGTTTCCAGTCTGCCGATCTGGCCTGACCTGCCTCAAATGAGTACATACGGTCCATCAGTAACGGCTTGGGCGGGTTAAACGTCCATCACGCATCAGAAACGTGTTCCCGTGTGAAGGGCCTGGACACAATGAGCTGTGACTTCATGTTTGCTTCACAGCAGTATGTATACGAAGTGCCTATGGGTTTGCGCCTATTATGATAGTAGTGTGAACTTTTCAGTCGACCACAAAGTTCGAGGCTGCCAGACCGTGCGTTGCCGTGGGCGAGGGTAAGGGTTGGGTTGGGTTGGGTTGGGTATCTAATCCAGGTGCGAGCCTAGCCTTCAACATCAGGTTAAGACCTACAGAGTCACTATAATAACAGACCTAAATAGCCTCGTTTTCATGTGTTCAACATGATTGTCTGTATGCATGTTTGCCCGATACTGCTATCGGTGCTTACGTGCATGGCTGGGCCGGTCAACCATACCGGTCGGTTGACGAATCTGACCCTTAAAACAATGTAACTCTAGTATAAGAGGCCATCAGCGTGAAACAACAGCAGGCTATCACCATATGCAGCCCAGCGGGGAGTGCGTCAATATTTTGTGTCGGTTACGAAGACTCCGGGGTGCGCGCGTGCTACCACCACCTGTCCGGTTCATTCTCTTGCGCATTGTGTGCGGCGGTGTGTGTGTGCCATCGTTCGGGCTGGAAAAGCCGGTTCCACCAGCGACACTGCCACCAAAATTCAGCAACCCTGAAAGTTCAGAATAGGTGTGCATAGATTGCATGGACTTCCGGTCGGGGGAAAAAGCACGCTTACACATAGAGTAAGTAAGCACAACAGCAGGACTGCTGTACCGTAGGTTGAAAGGAAATGGTTTCACGAACGGTCATGTGTGATCCGTTTACATATGTACTCCCCAAACCCAAAAACAATTGATTAAACACCCCCATAAATGATTTTCCATTGTACTGCTGTATGTACGGAGAGCGATTGTACCCCCAAAACGCAGTGGTCGAAGCGTTCTTGTTTAGTACCGCGTACATATATGCATTCATATGCTGGAAGTAGTATGTAGGAACAATACGGCAAAGCACGGCTGCTGCGGGTACTGCTGCAGAACTCTGCACCGCCGGAGAGATTGAGCGAGGTGAAGGCAACCAACGACATACGAACCCGCAACAGCGAATAAGCACGCCCTTACGCTTTACGCTGTTTACTAGAAAAAAGAAGGTTAATGTTCGTTCACGCAGTCTCCCGCCCTTGTCCCTGTCTTCGTCCGCATTATATTTTGAAGTGAAATTCTGACAGAAAACGCTTTGCGCTCCCCCACCTGCGGTGCACGATTTGCGATCGCCGTCTCACGAACCTACCCAGCCTACCGCTCGCAGAAGCAAGGCTGTTATGGTTAGAGTGCGAAGCATCTGCTCCCGTGCGTCTTGTGCTATCGTCATCCAGCTGCTGCTGCTGCTGCTGCTGCTGCTGCTGCTGCTGGGGAGGGGGCGGCAGCTGGTAAGGTGAGCTCCCCGGCCGTCGAGCGATGTCGCTTTCCTCTCGCGGCCGCCGGTAGTTGGCCCCACTGCCTCCGGGAGAGGCCATCACGCTGCTCTTGCTGGTGTAAGTCTGTCAGCAGGGCGTGCATTCATGTACCACCTGTGGCAGGACCAACGCCACGGGAACTTGCTAAGCGAAATGCTGGTGCAGCGTGTAGGCTGCTGGAATCTCCCACAACAATCTCCGAAAAACAACCTGCGGAGCGGTGTAACGTGTTACCCCGGATCCCCCGCGGGATCGCCGATGCATAAGAAATCCGAAATCTCGTCATCATGTTACTGCATGCAGTCACTCTGCCGTGAACAAACGCTAGCACGCGACTCGGTGGAGCTGCCCATAGTGTGATGAATGTTGCGAAAGAGGACGTGAAATATCGTGACCAAGGCTGCAAATGCCAACGTGACAATACGCCAATGTTTTCAAAGTCTACAGCAGCACAGAAGCTTGGAGCGATCTACTATTTAGCTGCTTTTGCGTTGTCTGCGAGAGGGCCTCGGTCGTTACAAGTCACCTCAGACCGTTACACAGTACACAGCAGAAGAGGAGTCAAATAGATAGGCGGGCTCCCGACTAGTGTCGATAATAGAGGGGGGAGGGGGTCTAAGAGAGGGCCTCCTGTTCGAAAGCTGTGCACGCGTGGAAGGATTACAGTAGACTAAAACTTGCCAAGAACCATGTCGCGGGTCGTGGGCCTTGCGCAATGATGTCGGTTATGTCGGTGCACACATGGAGTGTGAAGCCATGGGCGGGGCAGCCCGGCCGGGACTGTCCAGTAGTTGTACCTACACAGATCGATGCCAACGAGGTGCCCCTCGTGTGTCTTCCCTGTACAACGGGTTCCACTACATTGTGCGAACGATTCTTCTGTCTCTATCCTCTCAAGGGAGAGGGAACATCAGCTAAACAGAAGTTGTTCAACGCAATGTTTACAGGAGTGGTGGCGGGTTGGATCGGGGGGGTCGAGTGAGGCTGGTATCTCGAATGCGCCATTTATTATTTGCGCTCGATATCTTGAGTGCACGCGATCGGTTTTGTTGTACATACCGGCCACGCGAACCCAGGAAGAGCCCTGATGCGCTCCACCTCTACTACACGACATCCAAAACAAGTATGGAACCATGGCGCCGATTTTCCATGTCCCGTCATGCGTCGAAGAGATTACTGCATGTAGGAAAAGCTGTGCCCTAAAACTCACCTTCTCTCCCTGGTGCCCCCGCACCTAACCTGACCTACCCCGCCACCTCTCAATGAAAACAATACTGAGAACATGGCTGTAGCGCCGTCGATTCGTTTACATTACATCCCTGCACCACGAAAAACAATAACAGAAAAAAAAATACGCAAACTTGTAAGTTGCCGTCCGGCTACAGTATTTAGGCTAATTGTCATTCGCCCGCGTTTTCGCCAAAACACCTACGCAGCACACATTTCCCGCAACAAAGACTTTCACCGTGACACCCGCCTTCTTCCCGAGTTGCTGTAACGGAAGTACCATCAGACAGCACGACAACAAAAGTATTTTCTCCATCCCGCCATGCAAAAAAGAAGCACGACTTGACAATTTACTTCTTCTTCGAGCTCTTGGCGTCCTTGAGGAAGGCGTCGAGCCCGAACGGGTCGGCCTCTGCCGGGTCCGCCTCGAACTGGACGGGGGCATTTCTGGCTCCCGTCGCCCCGCTTTCCGTACCCTGGAACAAACACGAACGACGACAACGGGCCACAAACCACCGGCACATTGGACGAAGCCAAGAGATCATATGAGCCAAAAATCGTTCGAGCGACATGAATCGTCCTGGGCGCATCCACGACATCGCCTATAATAGAGCAGCATGGAGTGGGCGCGTTTTGCTCCTTCTTGTCGATACGTGACACGATCAGAGGTACTACACACAAACACTGCTGTTCGATACGTTACCTTCTAGTGGGACCAAACACGATAGTATCAACAACAACAACAACAACAACAACCAACAGCCATGGGTAGGTCACCTTGAAGCCGCGGTCGGCGCGGAAGCGCTCCGTCCCCGTCAGCTGGCTCATCTGCTGGTCCGCGTCCCCCCAGGCGTCGCCGTCGTCCGTCTTCGGCTTGTACACGGACTGCGCCTCGCCGCGGTTGAACATCGGCTTCGAGTACACGCCGTACCCGTCCTCCGCGCCGAAGCCCGAGTCCATGCCCGCCGACTGGTTGAACAAGCGGGCGTCGTACCTGATGCGCGTGCAAATTTCGCCCCGAGAAAAAAAAAAAAAAAAAGCAACCGGGGTTTTCAGCAGCAAATGACAACACCGGGGGAGGACGGTTGCACTGGGACTCTGGCCGGTCCATCAACGGTGAGGGCAGCGCAACGTGCGGGGAACCAACAGGACACCGAAGCAGAGGAGAAAGTTATGGAACAAAGAATGACAGACACTCCCGCCGTACAATTCCGCCAACCACGCATGTGTATGCCTCCCCATCAAAGCGGGTTTCGCTGGGAAGGCCTAGCCCCGCAACCCCGGGTCGTCCTCGATCAACTGCTATTCTGATGCAAGAGAGTTCAAGGCCCCCGGTGCAACCAGAGATGCGCATGTGCATAATACGTAGAAACGGGTGGCAATTGTCTCCAAAGTTCAAGTGTGTTTCATGAATATCACACAACCCCTATTGACCTGGTAGTGGACGCTTTAAGCTGGACACTAGAGCCAAACGAACTTGCACATTCGCCAGTACTATCTTACGTACATATCGAAGAAAGAGAGGTAACCTGTTACTTGCACGAAACGACAACTCGAAACAAGGGTCTGACTCACAGGTCCGCGCCGCCCTTGCCTCCGCCCCCCTTGTGCATCCCCAGCGCAATCTTCTCCGAGATATCTCGGTCCTTCTCCTTGTCCAGCTTCTGCTTCTTCATGCCCCCCCTCATGTTCTGCAATGATCGAGTGCGAGAGACAGGCGCAAACAACACACCCGACAGCAAAAAAACGGAGCCGATCAAAACCACAATACTGAGAAATAAGCAAGCGGCAGGCACTTCGCGCTCGCGTTGGTGACACACAGATAGAACAGGGCACGGGCCAAGCAACGCCAAGCCCGTGTGGGAGCAAGGCCGGATATTCTCCGCGGGAACGGTGTCGGTGATATGCATCCGCCGGGGGGGCGTAACCAAGGTCTGCGTTTCGCCCGGCGAAACACGATCCCTCCCTGGCGTTCCTTTCCATGGCCAACCATGCCACAAACGGCGCCGACGCCCTCCTCCATGGAATTGCACGGTCAAGACCGCTCATCCTTGGTCAAAACACACGGTACACATCTACCCCCCCACCCCCCCTCCTCTTCCCTTCTCGGGCAAATGACGCACCCACAAAAATCACCCAACACAACAAGAGAGAGATTTGTCTTCCTCACATCGATCCGAAGATCCCTCTCGCGGTCCTTCTTCCTCTCCGCCCGCAACCGCTCGCGCTGCTCCGCGGCCACCCTCTCCTCGTCGCCCATCGCGCCACCCCCTCCGCCTCCGCCCCCGCCGCCCCCGCGACCCCCGCCCCCGCCGTACCGTGCGTCTCCTGCACCCGAGGGACGAGGAGCCCCCTCGTCGTCGTCTGAATCGTCGTCCTGGGCCCCACCTCTGAGACGAGACGATATCAAGGGGGGGGGGGCAGCAGTATCGGCGTAGGGGAGGTTAGGTGGGTGCGTGCTGGCAAAAATTCGTTTGGGTGGTAATGCTTTGTAAGCCGATTTCATCAGCTTGACAACCTCTGTCATCGATGAACCGCTAAAGGCACAAACCTTTTTCTTGGGCCTACCTGGCTGGTCCATTTCCAGGTGTCGCGGTGAGGAAAGAGGAGAGAGCAAGCATTTCCTTGCACCAACAGCGCCATACCAATAACGCCTCCCTCCCTCCCTCCCTCCCTCCCCCCCTGGCACGCGCGTAGTGCGCCAAAGAGCTTAAAAAATACTCTCTGCCGCTACCGCTGTGCTCCCGTTACCGCCGTCTTCTGGCGCTACAGAAGTGGAATCTTGCTATCGCCTTCCTTCGCTCTCACCGTGCAATGCCCGCTCTCTCCAGACGCGCGCGCGAGGCCAGGTCTCGCAGGTCCGCCTCCTTCTGGTCCTTCTCGCGCATCGCCACCTGCTTGAGCATCTCGCCGCGCAGCCTCGTTTCCTCGCGAGCCTTGCGCTCGGCGATGTAGAGCGACTCCGACAGGGTCGCGAAGTTTGGGCTGACGGTGTTCTCCTGCAAGCCCCTGCTCGCGTGGGGGAGCAAAAAGCGGGCACAAGAGAAAGTACACGGGAGGGGGGGGGGGGGGTTGAGAGAATTTTCTACCAAGGTAATGACGGCTCGAATGGGGACAACATGGAGAAACCAGGACTTTGGTGGTGTATGTAGGACGTTTGATTTTGGTGAGACCCCATTAGACCGACTGTCACAGCAATTCCGCCACTACCAAGAGGGTGCCAAAACCGGCCCACAAACCGAAGGGCAGCTAGCTCTAGACGGGGCGTTTCAAAAAGGGCACCCCTCAAGGCGTCCACAGCCTTTGTCGACCAACCGAGCTAAGCATATGCAAGCCGAGCTGCTGTATGTGTGACGACTCCCACTACAGCACTACTACTGTACTGCGGTACTAACGGACTCGAACGTGTACACTCTCCTGCTTCGCAACTATGCCTCATCAAGCCCCTGCCCCCCCCCTCGCCAACCAGCGTGACGATGACAGCAGCAGCAGTTTCCGCGTATGTACCTTCCATCGGCAGCGAGACGCTTGTCGAGCGGGATGGTGTAACCGCGGGCGTTCTTCCAGTTGGAAACGCACGGAGGAATCTTCCATGCCTGCTGGTCTTGGACCGTCACCTGGTCCAAAACAGATCAAACAAAAAAAACACGCCGGGATCACCGCGGTGTTGAGGAAAACATGGTTGGAAGCATTTGAGGTTGATGCGTCGTTCTCATGCGCGCTCGAGGTGTCACGGTAGAGCTTACCAAGGCAAACAATGCCCCCCGGCTTTGTAGCGTGTTCCTTCGGGAATCGAGGGAAAGCTAGCTCTTTGTTTCACTCCCAGGGAGTGGGCAGGCACAGTCGTCCTCCAGATTTGCCAAAGTGGTAGGCGCAACAAAAGTCTGCAACAACCACCGGTTTGTTCCGCGGTACACGCCGGCATCTGCGGAGACCAATAACAATACAGTAGCAACAGAGAAGCCTCTCCTGCAGCAAAGCGTTGACTTTTCTGGCCTGAAGGGACGTGATGCTGCGTCTTTTGCATCTCCGCCCACTACTGACATGCACCTTCGGCCTGGAATCCAGACGTCTCCAACATACTCTTGACTGCTGTGAGAGGATAAACCGAATGAAGTAATTGGCGCACGAGGTCATGCACCAACCCTACCTTTCTGGGAGGAGAGTGAAGGACCGGCACCGGGTCGTCGGCGGGTGCCCTCGGCACCTTCTTGTGCTTGTGCTTGGGGGGCTCCATCGGGTCAACCTGTCCACGGTTGAAAAAGCGGAGCGGGAATTCTTAGCGCGTCCGATTACCCGCAAGAGTTGAGAACGAACTCCATATGTAACGCCAAATACAGCAGTAGGGTGATACAACATCTGGATGGAGCCCCGAGTACAGAGGAGAGGGCACTGGCACATACAGGCCACGTGCCCTCACTTCGCATGCACCCAACACTTCATCGTTCGCGACAGCACGCAGAGCTATGCCACGAAAGACTTCCTCCATCATGGGCACCCCGGGGAGTGGGTTGATTCCATATCTCATTCCCCTAGAGATCCCTCTGATGGAACCAACCCAAAAAAAACAAAACAAGACAAGACGAAACAACCCTCCCTCCCGTCTCTCCGTCCCAGGCAAGAGTCATCCCCGCGCCTTCCGTCGCGACTTCTTCGCACCTGCGCTGCCACCATGCGAACGACCCTCTGCTTGGCGTTGTTGTTGTAGCCCGGGGCGTTGGGGTTGGGGGTGTACTTGATGAACTCGGCCTCCTTGCGGGTCTGGTCCCCGATGGAGCCCGGCGTGGCCGAGGTCACCTTGGCACCTATAAGCTGTTCGTCGCAAGCGGGGGCGTGTAGGGGATGGTGGTACAATTGTCGTACAAGACAACGCACGGGGCGACAGCAGAAAAAAGACGGATTAGGGGGTATCAACAGGGCACGAGGGGGTGCAAAGGGATGCTTGGATTCCGATGAGCGGAGAGATCTTGAGAGAGGCGTGGGGGGATCGGATCCGCGGAGAAATGCTGAACAAGACATGAACGTTTCTTTTGCGCCTGACACAACCCGGGGGGGGGGGGGGGGGGCCCCCCCCCCCCTTGGTGTTTTTTTTGATTACGCACGGGAGGAAAAAGGGGGTACAACGCATTTGGGGGTTCGGGGGATATTGTTTTGTCCCCTCATTTCCTAAGGCCTCAAAGGGGGGCAATACCGCCCATTCATCCTCCTTTACCTCCCCGCTCATTCAAGTTTCCTTTTTTTTGTTCCCCGAAGGGTACATTTGTTTGCCATGAAAGCTAACGCAACATTTCCCATCGACACAAACCTTTTTTTCCGAGAAACTGGTCAGGGAGAGGATCGGGGATGCCCCCCCCCCCCCGCAACCAGAACTAACAAGCACACACACACACACCTCCTGTGCCCTCCCTGTCGGTGGAATCAGTACCCTTTGACTACAACGTGTTCGTGTTTTTTATCCCCCTCTACAAGACTGACGTATTTTTATGGTCAGCCGGTCCCGGCCGAGATGCTACTGGTACACAGAACACACAAAAGAAAAAAACGGCTGCTCGCTAACCTTCTCGAAGGCCTGCCTCGTGCGCTCCGCTGTCAAGGCCTCCTCGTCGGCCGTGGGGGCCTGCAGCTTCTCCACGTCGCCCCTCTTCTCCTTGATGTTCGACAGCTGAGAGTACACGATCTTGTCCCGGTTCGTGCCCTGCTTCACGATGGCGTCGTGCTTCACCTGTGTTGCGGTTGTTTTGCGTGGTGGGTGAGAGAGCGGGCGGAACGGTCAGAACACAGGCGACGGTCTTCGCGGCACCGTCGGTAGCGCCGGCGGAACAGAACTCGTTCTGTGCATGGTCGCTGTTCTTTTCCGACTGGCGAAGACAGCCGGAATTCTGGGAAATCTGCTGGCAGCCGGTTCGCGTGGTCGAAGATGCAACGTAAATGACATACACAGACAACCCTATGTGCGGGAGCCCCCGCGGACTAGAATCGTGAAAGCGATTTTCGATTTTCGCCTCGCCAACATTGGTCTGCCGATTTGCACGGTCGGCGCAACTAAAAGAAAGTCCATGATACCTCACACCCTGTACCGGTAGCGTTCTTTTTTCGTCCTGCTACATGTACGACTGGTGTCTTTCCTTGTTACCGGGTTAGCGGGTTTACGACGTCGAGACAAGAAACATACACAAGTCGCACAAGAAATTCATCAACTAAATGACTAGGTACAGCAGTAGGAGGATTGCGAAGCACTGCTGCTGTGTCTTCGCCTGTGTCGAGTACATAGAATCCGGAGCTTCGTCGCTTGCGTCCAACCTCCTCCGCGGCGCCTCTATCCGGGAGAGCAAAGTCCGCCGGCTAGACAAGCGTGTTTCCGATAGCATCCCACTAACGACAAACACACGCACGGTCGAGCGCATCTCACCCACTGCTGTTTTGACGGTGCGAAGAAAGAGACACGTCTAAGGAAACAAGGCAACCCACGCTCAGCAACCGAACCAGCTCTACTGCTGCAGGATAAATATTATAGTACTTAGTCTCGGCAAGCAGGTCGGTCGTTCTGCCCGGCTTCGTAATGACCCTTCCCCTAAACTCAGTCTAATTTTAACTGCAAAGTCTTTGACTCAAACAAGGAGCATAGTGCAGAGAGCGGAAAGAGAAGAGACTACGATGCGAGTCTGCGAAAGACATCGCAGTTTTTGCACATCAGGAGAGTCCTCTCCGAACTCAACTTCTTTGGAGAACTCGAGTTCGGAGATGGGGGTGACGGGGACAGCAGACAGCAGGGTAACGATGGACAGCACAGCAGACCAAAACTACTGTTGTCTACATACGCGCCCATCAGATCTCCATTGCGATTAGTACTGCTCGCCCGAAAACCTCCAACAGCCAAATCGCTTGGTATACACAAGGGACACATCACCCACCTTGCCGTTCTCATCCACGTCCACGGCCACGATGGCGGTCGAACCAGAGTTGTCGCCTAGGCCAGAAGTACCTCCCACCCCTCCACCTCCCCCAGCCGCCGCTCCTGCCTTCTTCGTGGCGGGACGCCCCATCTCGAGAGGAAACTGGGCGACATGGATCTCCGGGAATGCTCCTCCATCGCCGAAGTCCGCCTGCGCGCGGGGCACAAAGCTCTGTCGCTGCCCGTAGGGGGGCACCTTGTGCTTTGGCGCCGGCGGAAGCAGGGAACTGAGGCCTTCGTCTGCGTGTACCTCGTATTTGTGCCGAGGGGCAGGCAGAAAGGTTGCGGCCATGTTGCACGGCCAGCTGCTGGTTGTTTGCTTGATTCTGAAGATCGGCGTTAGTGCCCTCCTCTCTAATCCTGTGGTATCTCCGGCTCTCTGCTCTCCTTTGTGTGCCTATGTTGTGCGTAGCGCCGCTTTCAAGGGGGCCCCGCGAATTCAATCAGCTCACACACATATCCCGTTCAATCCTCGGGAGATCTGGGAGATCCACCGCACTTCTGGTACAACAGCAGTACTGCTGTAGATCTATCTGTGCACGGTTGGTGAACTTTCCCGATGTGCGGGTGGAACAAGCCCCAGGTGCTCAAATACCACGCCCAGCTCGTGTTGTGTTTCACCAACATTGTCTACTTCAAGATTTCTCGGGTCTACAGCACGTGCTCTCACTCTTCGCGCTGTCGTGTCGCTCGCGGGCTCTGTACAAAAATCTTTCCTGCACCTCGGCGCAACCAAACATGCGCTGTTACATGGATGCACCGCTGCGCTTTTCATGCGGTTTCCGAGGTCACAACCCAGCTATAGGGTACCGCCGCGAGTGTAGCACATAGCGACAGCTCTCTTCCACCCAGACGGCGTACAAGAGTCTTTAAGCGACGGTCCGACGGCGACTGCTAGGTGACACACGATATCACACCGCTTCGAATGATTTGCAAGCTCGATTTCTCCACGGCAGAACGTGTGCGGCGGCGTCGAAGGGCGGTGTTGGGACTGTCTCGTCGAGAGCTTTCCGAAAACGAAACGTTTTGGTGTGTACATCCCCGTCGTGGAGTAATCGAGCTTTGAAAATCGCGAGAGCCCTTTCGGCTAGACAACTGGATGGACGATTCCCGAAGCGAATGATATATAGTCTATGCTTTGGAGAACTCATGGGGGGCTGGATCCCGGCAAGGGGTGCCCGGGGCAGATTTGGCTGATGGTCCTGAGGGACGATGCCGTAAGCAACAGCTTCGGTCTATGTACCAGCCCCAAAATTAATGCTTCCCCCTCCTCTTGGCCTGACATTTTGGCCTGTCGAACACATCGCTGTTCCACGAGAAGAGAACGTTCAAGTACCACGACGTTGAACGCCTTTCTAAATTCCTTATTTAGACCAATCACTTCTTCCAGAGGATTGGAAACTGTCGAAACGCCATGCTAGAGATCGCAACCCTGAAACAAGGTGGGATGCGGAAACGTAAGAGAGAGCCACGCCCCGCTTGCTTGTGAGTGTCGTTGGCCACTGAAAAACTGGACGTGCTGAACTCCTGAACGTATGGAATACGGAAGGTCTTCCCACTGCAGCAACTTTGCGCCACCCTTTCCCATTGAACTCCTGCGTCAACTGTCAAATGTCCTGTTCACCCGCCTTGCTTCATTCCTGTCTTTGCCGTGCGGCGGCAGACTCGATCCAGTATCTGAAACTTGGCCGATTTTCTTCACGGAAATGACTTCTTGCAGGGATACTGCTGTACAGCCACAGCGAAAAGACCCCGGGAAACGACGTGCGCAATTGTGATCATAGCAAACAAACGACCCCCCCCCCCACGTACCTTGGAGACATGATAAGAAAGTCGGAAACAGTTGGAAACACTGCTGCCTTCGTGGTTGACCACGTCCGTGATAGACCGGTCTGCCCATATGCCGTATTTTCGGCTGTGTTCACCGAAGACAGCGTTTAGACGTGTTGAAACTGAAAGCGGTCTAGACTAAACGGGGTCTGTTCGCGCAACGTTCTCGGCCACGGGCGACGCGATGGCCTCACTTAGCCACCGGATTGACGCGCCCTCTGCCTCGACTGCAATTCCCAACGACACAACCTCGTCGCCGTCGCGCCACCTGCGCCACGAGCCGGCCCCTTCCTCCGCTCCCGCGCACTCCGCCCCACACAACCGCGCCTCGGCGGTGATCCCGGCGCGAGGCCTGAACTCAGCCACACGCCGCTCCTCCCAGGCGTTGCCGCGCGCCATAACCCCCAGGAGATTGTGTGGCACGGCCACCTCCCACTCGCCGACGCTCTCCCGGCAAACGAGAACCGCCGGGGGTTGTCGTTGTCCCAACGCAGGTAGCAGCGGGTCGTCCGGCAGAACGCCTAGCCTGGACTTGAGCACGGCCGCCTTGAAGGCACCCGGAATGTCTGATGAAACCATTAGGCCTGGGAGCTTCTGTTCTCTTTTTGCAGTTTCCGCTCCTGCTTCCACCTTCTCCCCAGTGTCATCCACCACCAGGGCGACGGCACCGCAGGCGGCAAGTGGCAGGGAGATCCGGACGAGGCGGGCCACGGGGTAGCCTTGGTCCCAGCGGTAGCCCAGCGTGCCCACCGCGTTACCCGGTGAAAGCTGGAAGTACATGGCGCTCCAGTCGCTTTCTGTCGTTGCAGGCACACATGGGGCACGCGCGGCGGCATACGCGGCAACCCCTGATTCGTCACCGATCACGCGCCACACATGGAGCGTGGCAGGCGTCGCCTCGACCATGCGAACATCCCAGGCGTTCTCTCGTTCATGTTTCGTTTCTTCCATCCTGCCTTTACCTGCGCACAAGATGAAAGAAACAGGGTGGCTGCTTTGTTACGTCCGTCAGTAGAATCCCAGGGTCGCAAGGGATGCAAAACCTATGTTCTTGACGTGACTGGACCTATCTTCCTCCTGCGAAAACATGGGAGCTGGTCCTCTTAGAGGCAAGCCTCAGGTTCCTACATGTTTTCGTGTTGGATGTTTACCCTTTCTCAATCGCGGACGATATTGATGTCATCACACGTCGGCTCAGCGGAATGCTTAGGCTCGTTGCGAGGGGGCTACATCTCGTGGGGGGGGGGGGCGCGGAGGCCTCAAAATTGGGGGAGATTTGGCTTCACTTGTGATCAAAAAGCGCTGCAAACTTTTTCACTTCTTCCAATAAAAGTAAATGTACTTGGCGATCACTCTATGAGCCTCGGGGTAGTTTCAAGGGACAATTGTGCCACAATCCATGACTTCAATACCCCCCCCCCCCCATTTCCTCTACGCCTGAATTATTTACTGAATTTTCAACTTGAACTTCACGATTGAACAAATCACACGTAGATTAGTAGACTAGTCTAGCTCTCGAAAGAAGAACGCTGCCCCCCCCCCCCTTCATGGATTTCTTTTGGGCACGCGCATAAGAAGAAGTGAAGTTCCTCAAGTCAAGAGTGAACCTGGGCCTCTGCAAGCGACGGTGTGATGCACGACTCCGGCCTGAAAATTCCGTCGCCGTTTTTGCACTTTGCTTGACATATCATCAAACCTGTACGGCGATGGCGAGGCCTACTATTTTGCCTTTATTCCACGCATTACTTCTTCTTCCAACATCCCCGGGCCGTCCTCTACACCAACCCCATGTCTTGATAGTCATTCGAATTCACCAGGCTCAGTGAGACCACCAGAATACGTGTTTCCTCTATCAACGCTGTTTAGCAACAGACTTCCTTCGGGCGGGCATGGATCTGGAGTGTTTTACGCTGGTTGAAAAATCAACCGACATATCTATTCGCGACCATGTCGAAAAGGTCGCCGACGCCGGTCTGCCCCCCTCGTCCTCTCGATCTAGCCGCGCGTCCTCAGCAGCGCCTTTACATACAACCGGCGTGCGGCATGTGCATGCACAGGCACAAAGCTTGAAAGAAGGTGCCTGCAAACATGCGGCGCGGGTTGGATTCTCATTCTATGTTGTGCTCATTGTTTTTGGAGGCGGACACACTGATAAGACAACTTTTTGACCGATTTCCAGCCCTTTGCACCAAACAACACAGCCATCGACCAAAAAACTACCCCTACCCCTAATTCCAACCGCGGTAGAGGTGGGAGCATGGCTGGTGCGTTGTGGTGTGCAGTGGAAAGGCGCGCGGAGGGCAAAAAAATTGTGTATACCACCTATTGATGCAGGCAGACACACACATTGGAAATCATTCAACGGACCTCGTACGTATTCTGCGTGCCACCCTGCATCGGAATAAAGGTCGCGGAAACGTCCTTGACATGCGTGTCGTTTGATTGGATAACCCGAGGCTGACTTCCATGAAAGCTGCCCTAGATGTATTTTGAGTAGCTTCCATGGAAGCCCAAGGTTCGACTTCCATGGAAGCTCCATGGGATTTCCATGGGACTTCCATGGGAGTGGCACATCCACATTTCATATCGAAAGTTCCCATGGAAGTAAATATCGCTTCCTCCATGGAAGTGTCGTATTGCGCTTCCATCGAAGTACAAAACGTTTAGCTTCCATGGAAGGAAGCTGATACCACTTCCTTCCATGAAAGTAGAGCCAACTTCAATGGAAGCTAATTTGCACTTCCATCGAAGCGGTACACATTTGCCGAATAGTGTGGGAGACCGGTTCCATTGCTGTAAAACATGTGCATGGAAACGATTGAAACGTTCAGGCGATAGTCCTATCGGCGCCTCTTCACGCATTACTCAGCATGACGCTGTATTTCGGTACTATTGTAGCGTACGCCCCTCCGCCGAAATTCGACCGTTCTCAGCAGTGATGACCTCGTGCTCCTTGCACCACCAGCTCCATGCGAACCTCTTACTTTTCCATAGACTCGTTCCTTATTTCTCCCAACGGCGACTATATAGTTTTCATTTGAGCACCTGTTACATTGACAGTCAAGTAGTGCTTGCCGTGGTCAAAAATTCCCCCCAAGTCGTGTGCTGTGGCTTATTACCAACGCACAAACCGACCACCGAGAGAACATAGACGGGTGTCTCCATGCGTTATAAACCATGCATTGTCACTCCGTCTAAAACAAAGCGCAATGCAAAGGACAGCAGCAGTAGATTGTCATGTCGTCGACCGCGAAAGAAAACTACATGTACGTGTTCAAGGTGAACTGCTGTACCATGTCTAGACTACTGCTGTTGAGTCTCTCTCCACCACGCGGGGGGGTGAAGAAGCACACACAATGGCGACGTTGCTTATTGGCCCGTCGCAATAGGGCTGGAACGTGACAATAGGCGCACGCCTCACGCGCGAAGACAGAAGCCATAATAAGACCTTCTTGTGGCAAACATCTAGGTCCGGAATTGGTAATTGCGTGAGTTGTAAATCAGGCGGAGACTCTGTGTGAACCTTTAGTCTACTCTTCACTCAATTAATGAACGGGAACGACTACACACCAACCGACGCGATGCGAACGTACCCAGACTTCACCGGGGTGTCTGCGTAATATGCAGCAGCTTCGGGGGAAAAGATGCTCCCCTGCTGGAGTTTGGTCGTGTCCGGGGTTCGGGGCACGATGGATTCCGAAGCTGAAGCTATCGGCTATGGGCTATCGGCACCGGGGAGCCACCCCGCGCAGCCCCGCTTTCCTTCGGGAGGCGTTTGTTGGTGTACAGTGCCACACACCGCAACCGAAAACAGATCCAATCTGTAAATGTATGAGCCAGGCACACTTCTTGCGTATGCATGCGCTACCCACGCGTAACTTGTGTCGCACGGGAGTTGCAAGACGAAGCCGACGCGGCATTAGTAATGACAGGCACGTAAACTGGCCGCGTGTCTGCTGCTAGCTGTGCACTTTTATATTATCACATGGGCTGTTCAGAAAACAATTGTAGGGTTGGCCAGGAGGACAAAAAGAGGCAAGGGAGGACCGCCACACATGGAACATTTCCAGACCGATGGGGTTGTAGCCTATGCCATGATCATTCCACATCCGTGAGGACAGCGCTGTTCCACTTGTTCGGAGCTGTGAGAGTCCACGGCATTGTTTCTGAGCGGCCCAGGACAACTCAAGCATTTCTTAGGTTGTACGAAATTCGAATATAGCCGGAAACAAACGTCGGGGAAGAGAAGTTCATTCGTGATTAACCTACCCTCATATGTAGTATAGTCCCAAGTTCGCGGCGACCCAGTCCGAAAGCATGCACACGTGCTTTGCCGAGAGCACGCGCACACACCAGACCCAAGTTGCTGAAGCCGTGGTGTGCTGCTACAACCAGGCTAACCTTCGTTGAACGCTCAGGGCTATTGTACATGTACGCAGAGGTACCGTACACGACCTCCCCCCCACAAATCAAAGAAAACAACACTAAAACAAAAAAACAGCACAGCCAAATAAGGTATCGGATTTCGCTTGTTTGCTCATTCCCGTCTACACCCTCCCATCTACAATCTACTTTACACGTCTGTTTGAAAAAAACGTATCAAAAGACAGCGTTTATCACTGGTCCTAAAGAATGCCTCCCCTTCCCTCCCCCCCTGCCCCGCCGCCCGGCACTTCATGTAGTCAGTCGTAGCGCCTCTCGAAACCCAACACACACACTGCTCTACGTTAAGTTAACTCTGTGTATCTCAAATCGCGAAAGTTGCAACTGAAGTATGCTGACTTTCTTTTGACCCTCCAAAACAAGATTAGAGGCTCGTGCTCCTGATAGCCTGCCAAGTACAAGGCAGGGAACGACGCGCGAGAGAGAATACTCTCACGTGCGTCTGCAAAAATCCTTACAACTTGGCGTCCCGGAATCGACGAAAACCTAGTCATAAAAACGGCACCGACTCTTTCGCAGCAGCGTGTGTGCATCTACTGCTGTACATCGTACCATCACCATCGGCCACGAGACATGCCTGGCGCAGCAGAAACACGTGCTCAGTAGACGAGCCCACAGGTCATCGAAACGGTACAGAACAACTCTATTAGCTTCTTCCACCATCGACAAGTGGTTTGTCGCAGAGGACGGCAGCATCTACCGCACCCCATGGCCCGCACGGACCGTCTCGAATGTTCAAGGCTCAAAAGCAGCTAGCTGTACTTGTTCACCACACACACATCCAAGTAAGGGTGTAATAGATACACTCAACGGAAGGATGCGATAGACTAAACGCACAAGACCTGCTTTTACGGCCGCTGCCTCGGTGATCAAAGAGGCCGCAACTACTTCTCACCACGTGCAAGCTGGAAAACCAACAAGCGACTACAATGTATGTACATCTGCTCTATACCAGCGGCAAACAAAAAAAAAATCAGAAAACGGCCGGGAAACGACCAAAAAATAAAAGGAAAAATTAAAATACTCGTTGTAAATGATGATGGTAGTCTTTGGCAGCAACAGCAGTGTGCACGCGTATGCACGGCCGTGTTTGCCCCGTTGGCCACGAGGCCTGCCCTTGCATCCCTACATGAAATAGATACTTGCCCACGAGACGATCCCACGGATCCTCGAATGGGGTACATGAAACGTTGGCTACAAGACTCCAGCCTCTAGAATTAATTACGCGATCAACGAAACGGTAAATGCGAAGCGCCCTCGATGACCTGCGTACGTGCCGTTTGTCTTGGTGCCGATGAAAGAACCAATAGCTGTACGAGGCATGACTGATTTCCTCCTGTGCGCGACATTGGCCAACGACTACCCTTCCAAGGTCTATGCGCGGGATGACCATTGTGGTAATAGAAGTAGACGTCGTCGTCGTCGTCGTCCCTGTGGTAGCCCCTTAGTGAAAGGACGCGAAGCACGGGAGGCGGCCGCGGCGGCGGCGTTCGTCGCCGCATTGTCCGCTCATGTTCACCTCCGGGTCGAAGACTTCCTGAGAAAGAGAGGCAACAGCCGTTTCCGATAGGTCGATTCCCGCTCCACATCCTCCAGCAACGGTCATCTCCCTGCCAAGAACCCAGCACTCCTGCCCCACTAGCGTGCTCACACCCTCGAACGCGAAACTCTCTTGCACGATGGGGGGAGGAGTGGTCATCGTCGGCGATGCACCGGCAGCACCAGCAGTGGCGGCGGCGGTGGCGGCGGCGGCGGGGACCTCCGAGATCATTTTCATGAATATGCCCAGGCGGCGCCGTTGCCGCGGCCCCGTCGCCGTCGCCGCCGCCGCCGCCGCCTCTCCCCACTCGCCGTTGCCGAGGTACTCACTCTCCCCTCCGACACCCCAGTCCTCGTCAAAGGTACCACCACCAGTCGGTCCCTCTTCTGCCACCATCGCGGGAACTGCCGGGGTCAGTGTCAACGTCACGTCGACCGCGCTCAAGGTGCCGGCGTCCTCATTGCCGTTGCCGTCGATCCCTTCGACGCTCGCGCCCCCGGTCACCACGGGCTCGGACCAACCCTCGGCATCCACCGTCTCCTCCCCCTCACCGCCTCGGGACTGCCGGCTACCGCTGGTACTGCACTCGCCCCCGCTGAGCAGCGGCAGCAGCCCGTTGCTAGCGCCCGCCCCCTCTGCCCCGGAGAAAAGCCGAACAGAGCACGCGTTCGAAGACAGCGCGCCCTGGTGCTGGGACGTGTCTACGCTTGAGTTGGTTCCGACGACATCAATGGTAGAGACCCCGCTGATTGTGAACGAGGCGTCCTCCGGACCGGAGTCGTGCGCCACGCCGTCCTGCCCGCTTGTAGCCGCACCGACAGCGAGGGCGAGAGAAGACCCGTCGTCCGAGGGCATCCAAGAGTCCGGGACGGAGATGTCGTCGCCCTCCGGCCGTGTGTCCTCGCTGGGGGCAATTGACCAAGTGGTGGTGGAGCCGTCGGCAGCGGCCGTGGCAGCGGTGGCGGCGGCATGCGGGTTCGGGATAGCGCCCTCTCGTTCCCCACTCACCGCCATACCGTCCTCGTCCTCCAAGAGAACGGCGAGGCCCCCCGACCAGCTGTTGGAAGAGGAGACCGAAGAAATCGATTCCACGGGGCTCCCGGTCGACGGCACCGACCTGGCCGAGGTCAAGGGAAATACAGGCAGTACCGCCGAGCGATTCCCGGAGCCGCCGCCAGAGGACGAAGACGGGAATGATTCCACGGAGCTCCTGGTCGATGGCGCCGACCCTCCCGGAGGCGAAGAAGAGCCTGACGTTGTCGCCGAAGAAGCCCCCGAGCTACCGCTAGAGGACGAAAACGAAATCGTAGACACGGAGCCCCCTCTCGACAGCGCCAACAGGGGCGGGGGGGAGGGCGTCGTAGTCGTCGCCAGAGCACCTGCCGTCGCCATGGCCCTTGACTGCCTCTCCGCGGACTGGATGATGGACGGCAGCCACGCCCGCACCTCGCCGATGTCCGGCCGCTCGCTGGCGTCGGGGTCGACCATGCGCCGCAGAAAAGAGCAGGCGGTGTCCTGGAAGTGGTGGGTGACGGGGGGTAGATAGAAAATGGAACACAGCGCCGGGTTGGATATGGTTAGCTTGAGGCGAAGTCTACACGAGGGGACTTATCGAGACGGCAGTAGTCGGTAGCAACGACGACAGGGTGGCGTTGAAGGAGCAGAGTGGGGGAGAACAAGCGGTGGGGCGACCCGATGGACGCTTCCTCGGGGATTGATGCTCTCGTTAGGCGAGGACTCTCATGAAAGAGGTCGTTCTCCAAGGATACTACAGTTGCTGGTGGAATATGCTAGTGCTTAATTCAAGGGCGGGATGGTGGTGGGAGGAAGTACTCTGCCGTGGAGGGCGGAGGAGGAGACACGGCAATGTCCCTGTCTTGGCATCGTCGCCACGAGAAACTTTGCGTGCGACAGCCAGAAGGGCCGTTGGGATTCGTTGCAATTACACCACTACACATCAAACAGACACGAACGCGAGTCTAGGGATAGCGCAAGGCTAGTGCGGGGACAACTCACCCGCATCGTCTGCTCGAGCGTGACGAAGAGCACGCTCCTGACCATCCTCTTCTGGAAGCCGTTTTCGGACGTGTCGTTCGCCGTGCGGAAGGACATCCCGTACTGGACGGAGAGAAAAGCAAGCGGGCGGTACACACGCGTGCCCATTCAGTGGCATCGGCGGGGGGGGGGTGTACTCATAGTCATGCATGCCGTAGTCGTTAGACCATTGACCTCGCATCCCTACAAAGCCGGGACGGAGCACGCCGGGTTCCCACCGGACCACGCTCTCACATCACCAAGCGCGAAGCGCCGTTAGATATTCGGCGAGTCGCATGAAGGGTGCGCTGCATCCTGCTAAGGGTGTTCGGCATCTTGTGCATACTTCCTTGCGTACGGATGACAGCTGCGTATGACTTAATTTATTTTCTGGTGCTTTCCCTTTCAGAGACACTTGTAAGCACTGTGTAACTGCCTCGAGGATGCTTGATCATTTAAACACAACGTGGCGCGATCATCCTCCTTGCGCGGAGTGAGGGTTCTCCACTCCGCGCAACATCATCCACTCGACCAACATTATGGTTGCCGCCAAAAAAATATTAGAGGTAAAAAAAAGCGGTAACCTGGTTGCCGAGTTCACGAAGTGAAATGGCTTGTTTTACAACGTCGTTGCCAAACGACGAAAACCCAACCCCGATGGCAAACACCGGGGGGGGAGGGGGGGGGGGGGGGG